ACTTTTAGAATGTTTTTACTTTCTAATTCCTTATTTTCTTTGACTCTCATGTTTTTCTAAATTCTACTTTTTTTTTTGTATTTTTTATATCTATAGGTATTTAAAAAGAATTAATACAAAATAATAGTATCTATGATATGTCCTAATATCATCTTTGATGTATATATGCTAAAGTTTTTTGACTTTATTTGAATCAACAAAGATATATTATTTGTGTTAGCATGGCTCAAATATTTGTTTAATGTTGATCTAAAATAAGCCATAGTAACACATTTGGCCATAAGAATGATAAATATTCTCTATCCATGTCATTCTAATATTCCAACTCTACTTACATATTATTTGATGTTGGAAAAATTCATAGTAACAAATAAGTGGTAGAATATTTTTGTAAAAAATTACTATTAATAATAAAAATAAAATTCTACATATAGAAATTGACTAAAAATAATATAATAATTAGCAAAAATAATAAATAATTTCTATCTTAATCATCTCAAATCTTTTGTAAGCTGTAGAATAAATATTTTTAGTAGGATTTCATTTTATTCACTTTCAATGACCATATTAATTTATGCAAACAAGAGATGCATTATGTAAAAGATATCTTTACCATATATGACTAGAATCTATTTAATTTTAAAAGAAAAAAATGGTTCTGATGTAAAAACCATCAAATTTAGAAAAATTTAAATAAAGAGTTTATATAATGGCATTTATTTTTATAAAACCTACAGACTATATTAGAACCAAGTGATTTAGAATCAAGTGATTCAGAAGGTAATAAGCTCATGTATAATGTTTTATTTTTTGAAGTTCTTAAAAAAAACAAAAATTTAAGAAAATTTTTAAAATATCTTCTTCTATTTTCAAGTAATTTTTTTAAAGTAGATGTTTAGTTCCAATATTTCTATTTGAATTTTTAAAAATAAATATTTTAAAATTTAATTTGAAAATATAAAACAAAATAAAATTTTAAAAAATAGTTTTTTTTTTTTTTTTTAATATAAAATCTCTGTAAAAACAAATAAAATTTTTTATAATCAAATTCAAATTATTCAAAAGAGTAATTTTAGATTTATAATTTAATTTACATTGATACTGGAATTTTAAAATAACTCTAAATAACTAAATAGAAAATTAATACATTTCAATTTTAAAAATAGAACCTTAAATCTTCTAAATAGTTAATAAAATTAATTCTAGAATTTTCTTTAATTTCAAAATAATTTTAATACAAGCACTCAATCAAGAAATTAAATTCTCTTGTTTAATTAATACAACACTACAATATTGCAATCAAAAGAGTAGAAAGCAAGAGTGCTTAGTAGCTCATTTTCTATTGTCTTATATATATTTCTTGTATATCTAAAGAATTTTATAAAGTTTTTCAGAACTATATACAAGAAATATACATTTAAAATTGGGTGGATTTTTTACACAAAAATTCTAGTGTTTTTTGACAAAAAGTCTTTTAGAAGTATTTTTATTGTAAGAAAATATTTATTAAACACTTACTTTCAAAGATAAAAAATTTCAATACAATGTGGATTTTATTTCATAAATTTCTTAGATTGAATATATAGATTTAAATGAATGCATTTTGTTTTGTTAAAGATATTCTTAATCATAATTCTACATATCACCTAATTTAATCAAGGCTTAACAAGTATTGATAGTGAATGTGGAAAAAATTTTAAAAATATAAATATAAAGGACAATATTGCCAATCAACATTCTTCCTTAGAAAATAGAATAGATAAAATTGACCAAAAATATTCTAAAAAATAAATTTGATATAATTATCTATTAATATACCAAATATTTTTATAATGATAAAACTTTTTAAAATCTAAAAAAAATTAGAGATGTTAAGTTGAGCTTAAAGTTGGTAAGTACAAAGTCCATATGAAGAACTAGGATAGAAAGATCTAATATACTTGTATTCAAATTACTAATTAATCTATCCAACATATTTACTTGATGTTTGTGGAAAAAAAAAAAAAAAATAAAACAAAAATAATAATACAAAAAATATGATTATATAAATAAAATCTTTAAAACTTATATAATTTAAGAATATAAAAATAAAATAAATAATGATATTTTATAGAGATTTCGAATGTGTAGAGTAGTAAAAACTACCTCTAAATTAATACTATAGATGAATATTATATTACAAGGCATCATTTACAAATATCCACAAAGAATTTTGTCTAATTTGTTTCTTCAAGGCTCTTTAGAGCAACAAGTATGCAACATGCTAGATAATGAATTTTAAATATATATATATATATATATATATATATATTATTAAAATTTTCAAGTCTATCAATAGTTAGAGACACCAATATAGCAATTTCAAGTGATAGATACTTAGCTTAAACTTTTATCATTTCATCCATCCAAAATAGTAATTGAAGGCTTGGCAAAACTAAGATTAATATAAATAATTTAAAATTATAATTAAAAGTAATTATCTTAGAAGGCTAGTGCCAATTGCTGAGGATTTTTTTACAATAGACTACTCATATTATATTTATATTTTGATCCTTCTTTTCAATGCTTAATTGTTCTTCCCTAGAACTTTGTCTTAGTCTTTCTCCAACTCTTATTAAAGCCTACTTGGCCTTTGCTATCTTTTGTCCTAAAATCTAAATCTTGAAAGTAGTCAACTAAAAGCAAGGATATGCTTTTAAATTTTTAGGTAAAATTTCCAAAATTAATTAATGGATGAAGAAAAAAATTGCCATGATACACACTAAGAACCTATTCTTTTGTAGCCCTAGTATAGTTGATAAAATTAGTCCAGTAGTTTTACATAATCTGTAGTTTGAGCCTTGATAGTAACATGTGGGATCTAAATTAATTTATAATTTGATTATGGCGGCCCTCTCTCCTTTTCACTCCTTAGCTTCTTCTCCTTGTTATTTCTTAAGTCCTATAAGTTCTCTTCTCTTTTAGTTTTAGGTTCCCAAATTTTACATGTAGGCAAAGATAGGTACACCAAACCAAAATCTAAGTTATCCAAAATCTTGAATTTTATGAAAAAAGAAACAAAAACAAAAACAAAATAAAACAAATCAAAACAAAAAAAAACAAAAACTACTAATCATCTTCATATGTCCCAATGAGGAAATTGTTTAGCCCTAGCTTCCAATCTAATGTATATTGAGAGTTTTTACATACTCTGCTTATAATGTACTTGCTACATAATATTCAAAAAGCCCATAAGGGATCTAGTCACCATACAAGTGTCTCCTATTTGTTGCACTTAAAAAAAAAATTCAAAAAAACTAATTATTTTGATTGACTTGTAGATGACATTCTCTTGGATACTAAATTAACATGCAGGTTTTGCTTCAACCCATTTTAGTGAAGATGTTCCTTTTACAGTGTGATCTTAGAATGAGTATTATTTATTGTGTTTATATTACATTATGGAATTCAACGGAAACATTCATGTTAATGACCAAATGAAGATTTTCATTATTGAAGGAATTAAGGGTATAGTAATTCAAAAGCTATCAATATTATCAATGCCAGCTTGGAAATACTTTTGGTTAGTAGATCTTTGTGTGTCTTGATTGTTCTCTATGCATATTTTTTAGTAAATCAAGGGCCTTCATACCTACAAAGCTCAATTTAAAAGGCTATGATCCAAAAAAATTATTAAAATTTATTACTTTGGCAAATAAAAATTATTTTTTGAAAATCTTGACTATTAAAGATATGGTAATGGAAGAAGTTAATTTTAAATGGATCAAAATATTTTTATTACAATTCTAAATATGAAAAAAAAAAAAAAAAAAAAAAAAAAACACACACACACACACACACACATACACAAAAAAAATTAATTCTAAAAAAAATTAAATGTTTAAAAAAGAATACTTTATTTTTTTAATGGGTTTTTCCAGTAATTTTTGACATGGCTTCTTAATTTTTTATAGAGAAAACCTCTTGAGGTGTGTTGAATGTAAATACAACATTATTCATGCATGATACGAAAAAATACAGTTTATGCCATCTTTTCCACTCACACCCTCTTGACTAATTCTCCTAAGTATCATGTATTACTCTACCATGATTTAAAGTAACTATTCCAAATCTATGTTTTGGGCTCTTTGATAGTTTTGCTTATCATTACTACACATCACAATTTCACGATTTTTGTCTAATATTATATTCCATTGTTTTTTCATGAAATGAAGATTTAAAATTCCACTTGCAGTAGTTTTATCTGCATAAGCTTTACAGATTTATGAAATATGTTTGGCTGACTTGCATTTCTGAAAATGTTGATTGAACGCTACGTAGTCAATTAGAATGTTTTTGTAGGATGGTTATTCTTCCTACTCCAGACTGCTACACAAAACAGCCCACAAAGTCAACAAACACTTCTACAAATATTCCCCAATCCTTTTTTTTCAAAGCAGTACATGCGACTGTTCACAGGCATGAAGCGTTCACTTTGATGTGCAGTTTGTTAGTACTTTTGCTGGAACAGTTTGTCGTACGCATTCAAGTTCATTATTTCTATTCTTCTAGAAATATAGTGTTTGTTTGTTACTTGTGTGCGGTTTATTATCAGAGAACAGCAGTGCTGCATGTTCAGCAGCAACTAATGTGTTGATGGGTGTTAACTGCGAGGGCATCAGAGTTAATGGTGCATTTGACAAGTGCCTTTAAAGGTGATCACCAACTTAGTTACAAGTAGTTGCGATTCTAATGTGAAAGGTATGTTCGTTTCATTGTAACCATTCTCATCATTACATTCTTGTCTTTCTACTTCAGGCCATAAGTAGTTATGCTAGGATGGTCATACAATGTATATCAACGTCATAGATTCGAAGTGTACTCGGACAACAAAAGATTAGGTACCTCATGAAACATCAGTCCTACTTAATTTCGAAAATGCTCAGTCCAAATTACCATTGAACAGGAAGAAAGCTGAGAAACATGAGACCACGCAAATGCAAAGCAAGTGTACGATAGGCTCGGGGAAAAACTCAGTTGCAAGATTTTGTTAAAATTCTCCACTCGTAAGTTTAGATTAAATAGTCGACGGATCGTACAGGAAAAACACTAATCGAGTAGATGACTTATCAGGTTCTTGCAACATGAGACAACTAATAATGATCTACAGGCAGGTACACATGCCTCATTTCTACATACTACAAAATCAAGGTGGGTTTGTCCGAATCTGCTTAGTAGGTGTAGCCCTTGACAAACATTCCCTGCTTGGCTTCCTCAGCCTCGCCCTCAGCGGAGTACTTACCCAACTGAGCCAAAGAGTTAGCCTTAGCACGCACAAGGAGTGCCCTCTGGGCAGCCTCCACATTCTCTGGCTGTCCCTTCCATGTCTTCAAGACAGAGTTCTGAAGGGCACGGGCGTATGAGAAAGACACGTGCCATGGGTTGGGGCTCTGGTTCATGGCATTCAAGTTCAAAGTTGCTTCGACCTCAGATTGTCCACCAGACAAGAACTGCACAAGCAAGTTGAAACAGATTAGAGTTCCTCTATGCATGACGTATCGTTTCAAGCAATCGGTAGTCTCACACTTGAAGGCAGAAGTCAAGGTATAGCAGAATCCAAGGATAGGTCAGAAGTATTTAAAATTACCATGATTCCAGGAACGGCAGGGGGCACACGCCTCTTCAACATGTTCAAGGTGTACTGGGCAACCTGCTCGGGGGTGGCCCTTTCCTTGCACTCAGCACCAGGGGTGACCATGCTGGGCTTCAGAAGGATACCCTCAAAGAGCACGTTGTTCTCAGCCAAGAAGTAGAACACCTTGGACCACACCTTGGAGGCAACCTCCAGGGTCCTGTCGATGCCGTGGTCTCCGTCCAAAAGGATCTCGGGCTCCACGATGGGTGCCAAGCCATTGTCCTGGCAGATGGAGGCGTACCGAGCAAGGCCCCAGGCAGCTTCAGTGACGGCCAACTCCGAGGGTCCGTTGGGGATGCTCACAACAGTCCTCCTGGAATATAAATTGCGTCAGAAATTGAACATATGAACCTAGAAGACCTAACACAAAAGCTCACTGGGAATGGTCACCGAGTGTACTCACCACTTGGCGAATCGGGCGCCCTGCTTGTAGTAGGCAGCAGTCCTCGAGGCCAATCCATCCAAACCTTGGCACCAGGACTCGTTGTTGGATCCGGTCAAAGGCACGAGACCTTTGTCGACCTTGATACCAGGGATAATGCCATTGGCATTCAGGCAGTCCACCATGGTCCTGCCATCGGTGGTCGACTGGTACAAAGTCTCCTCAAAGAGAATAGCTCCAGAAATGTAGTCACCGAGTCCAGGGGTGGTCACCAGCAATTGCCTGTATGCCTGACGGTTGGCTTCGGTGTTCTCCAAGCCAATTGACTCCAGACGCTTACCGCAGGTAGCGTTGGACTCATCCATAGCCAAGATACCCTTGCCCTTGGACGCAATGGAGTTCTGCATGTAAACCAAGAACTCATCAATCACCCAACTGTATCAATGCATACAGACGTCCCCGAAACCACTAGCGAATATCAATTTCTGCTACATACGACCTATCTACCCACAATCCCCACAACTCATCCTATTCCCAATTGATGCATGCCAGCAAGCCGTCCCAAAAACCCACTCTAGCAACCAACAGGGCAGCGCAGTTACCGCGGTCTTGACGAGCTCCTCATCGTAACCGGCGGCACGGACAGCGAACGCCACATTGGCGGCCTTGGGGGCAGCTACGGTCTGCTTCAAAGCAGCACCCAGGAAGTCACCCTTCAAGGCAGTGCTGCTCTTGAGCGACATGGTCATTCCGACGGCGGCCATTGCAACCAGCACAGTGAGGTCTCGCGAGGAGCGACAACGTGAGGAAGAACAGACGAGCAAGAGAAGAGAGATCGGCCCTAAGAGAGGTCCGGTGGAGAAAGCCGGGCTGCACTCTAGAACTGCAATGCAGAATGTTGGCGGTTGGCAAACTATAAAACTAGGTACAACGGGAGGAGTGAGAGATCCCTGGCGAAGAGGATTGACCGCGCATGGAAAGGATGGCGATGAAGGCGCTGGACGAATTTGCGGCTCTGGGAGCAGGGCTGCATCTGTGGTTGACAGACGAGGATAAGGTGCCTTTGGTCCCTCTTTGCGGCCATTCCTTGGCCCCCGAATGGTAAAGCCTCACGGAAGAAAAAAAAAAAAAAAACTCACACATACACTTTTCATCGACCAGGAAGCGATGGAAATGGCGCATCGCCAGCCCTGCGACGACGCTGTTCGATTCTTTTTTGCTTTCTAGCAAAGCAAAATCTGTGGCTCTGGGGGCCAGGCCACGGACCTCGCAATCCCCACGCAATGAATCCATGTTTTTGCTCGCCTATTTTCTTCATATTTCTTCCTCACAAACTCTCGTTACTGGATTGTTGTTAATGACAAATCAAACCTGTTGTGCACGAAATTTCCACGATCAGTTAATGTGGGTTGATGAGAAGAGAAGATAGTGACGGAATGAACAATTCAATTGTTTTGGTAGAGGTTTCATTACATATATATATAAAAATTGTTTTGAAGTTGAGATATAGTTGAGACATAGAGGTAAACTATGTGCAGATTTGTGTGCCTACATTGATATTTTCTACAAATTGTGCTCTGTCGACATTCTTCTTCTTCAACAAGTTGTATCTTCCAATGACATTATGTTATTACTCTGGTGTTTTTATGAAAATTTTCTAACTGCAGGTTATTTTTCTAGTTTGATGTGATCCTATTTTATTTGGTTGATGTTGAAGTGCTTATTATAAATATCGATGCATGTGGTGCTGAAAAGAATCCAATAATGGATTGAACTGAAACATTTCAAATTTGATGGATTATGTAGTAGTTATAAGATTTTAAACAAATTGCTTTAAAATTAACAACACAATACGTATGTGTTTTATATCAAGTAGCTTAGAATATGTTTTTGTTTATAGCGATTAAAATTTATTATGTATGGTATACTCCAGATATGAAAATTAATGTAGTCTTAAAATGCAAATTTAATACATGCAATTAAGTTTGATATTGAATTGTGTTTGACAATGTTTCACATCTATTTTTCTTGTCTATTTATAAATGTTGTTAGAAAGTTATAATAATGAAAGTTAATCAATTGAAATAGTAGATTTATTTTTATTTTTATTTATTTATTTTTTAATCTTTTCTATGTTTTTTGATTTGTGAAATACATGTGAATGATGAGGGTCTAACACTGTTTAGGTCCTGAAGCTTTCATCCATCATACCGTGTTTATTGTTGGATAACTGAATATTTTAAAAAATAAAACTCATTCATCATTCAAAAGTTAGATGCATGTGCAATTCAGCGTTTGTGTTATTTTTATTGCTTTTTTTGGTATGTGAACAATAGACACACACACACACACACACACACACATATATATATGTATATATATATATATATATATATTCATATATCTATTCATTTGTTTTCAGATATTATAGTTAAAATTGTTAGAACATGCTCTAGAGACATCAAAAGACTAATAAACATTTATGTAATGTCATGTACATAAAATACAATGTTGTCGGTAATATCTGAAAACTACAAGATCAAATCATGGAAAATTCTGTAAATTTGAGTAAACATTAAAGAAACTGAAATTTGAAGGAAAAAAAAAAAAAAAAAAAAAAAAAACACTTGAATGTGATTATTGATATGATTGCGTATTGGAATGTTGCAGAAATCATAGACAAGAAGTATTTTCTTTGATTTTGGACAAGTTTTACGAAGAGTTCAAGGTAAAGCTACCAGATAGTTGCGTATATTGTAAGTATCTCAAATGTAATTTTTTGAAACTATTTCTGTACCTTAAAAAAGTGAAAAAAGACATGAAATTCTTCAAGAATGTCCAGTTTAAGTTTGCTATAGTACTCATTTAAATTCTGATATTCTGTAGATGTAATATTTGCTCTAATATTTCCATAGTGAACATTACATGAGATGATTCATCAATTATCAACAAATAGATTTGGAATTCAAGATTTTGACACCTTGTAAACAAGTTCTCTAAGCACATACAGAAACTGCATTTATATACAAACAGTGTGGGTTTTAGCCAACCCACAAACTCATCGAGGTCAATCCTCTCTAACCCCAGTCTGATGAATGGACCACACACACAGGCCGGACAGAAGCTTCAGTTTCGAAGCTAAAAGGTGGAAGATGATCAGGTGAAATTGAACCAGTTTGTTACAAAGACATTAGTCTAGGTATTTCTATTTTAAGATACTGAATATTGAGTGCTGGCCAGTGAGGAAACAGTACCACCCCCTGAACTACGCAATGAAAACCAGCAAAGAATATGGTGTGTAATTGTGGGTCAGTAAAGCTCAGGCAGGCTTCCCAATGATCAGAAGAAGATGACTAAGAAGCTCAGCCAAGGGCTTCTCTCACCAACTCATAGGCCAGAAAACAAGCCGCGTTGGCAGGAACACTACGTGCCATTGCAGGACCGAAGCCTCTATACAAGCCCTTCACCCCTTCTGTAGCAAAAATCTTTCTGAATGCATCCATAGTGCCAGAGTACTTGGGGTTCCGGTGATCATCAATCTGAATAACACTCTTGATCACGTCTGTAGGGTAGACAGACACCCAGAACATCGCTCCAGCAACACCACCAGCTAAGAGCATTGATCCTCGACCAAGTTTTGAGGTGTCCTGGCCTGAAATGAAAAGATAAGTTAGTTAAAGCAGTCAATAAGAATTTTGTCCAATTCAGAGTCGGTATGATTAGAAAAGCTGGTAATGTAATTTGACGGGTTAAGAGTAGAAATTATACCTCCTGCGAGATACTGTTTGGTGGCTTCATAAGTACCGAACATAGCCGCATTACCGGGCACCTCACGCATGAGGGTGGGAGTAAGTCCCTTGTATAATCCAAAAACTCCACCTTCGGACTTCAATACATGTTTTGCAACGTCGAAAGGGCCACTGTACTGTACAGCCTTCACGGCAGTAGTACCAACTGAGGCCCCAGTAACTCCGGCAACTCCTGCAAGAACAGGAGCCTCCACAGTGGTGGCAAGTGCACTTTGAGCTTGAAGACGACACTTCACAAGCTCAGTTGGGCAAGCCACCATTGAGCACGCTACTCCGGCTCCAGCGCCTGCGCATAATTCACATTGAGAGTTCGAGAATGTCTGGCTCGTAAGTGTGACTGAGTGTAAGTACAAACGTGATAATATGTCAAATCATAAGTTCGAAATTCCGTGCACATCGTTGGGTCTGGCAACCACCCTCCTAGAAACCACTACTATCATCAAGGTTGTTTAATTTAGGAGAAGAATGCTCTGTCTACAACCTTCGTGAGAAAACACAAACCTACTCTCTCTACTTTGACGTTTCGCCAAGAATTAGTTGTCGAGGAGAATTTCACATACCAGCGATCATCTGCTGGGTCACAGTGAGAGGAGCACCGGGGGATTCACGGAGAAGTGCCTCCATCTGTCCTCTGGCCGTGAACAGGACTGCATTAAAAACAGCAACAGTTGCGAGAGGGGCTCCCATTCCCTTGTACAATCCCTTGGGGCCCTCAGACGCTAAAGTCTGCTTCACTGCATCGATGGCACCGCTGTACTTAGGCGGCTGTCCAGGCAGCGGCACTGGCTGTGACTGTAGCTTCACCTTAATGGTATCAAACGGATGCCCAACCAACAACTGAGCCACACCAGCAAATGTACCGGCCGTCAAGTCTTTCGCGACAGCGTCCGACATCCTGATCTCTTCACTTAACTACGCGTGTGAGTATTTGTGAGAGAACTTCTCCCTTCTCTCACTCACAACTCACCGCAGTCACAATGTACCCACCCCCTCAGACTCCCAAAAAAATTCCTACACTCTGTACCCGAACCCAATTTCCTCCCAAAACCTAGAAACAACACGGAAATCTTCAGCGGGAAAACCAATCAGCTCTGCAACGACCCTCCTAGTAATGCAGACTCTCACCCAAGGTCATCAGCGACCACTTCAACTTCGCCAAATATCTCACACCCCACCTCCAGGATTTCACACTACGATATGAAAATCCACTGGGCGAGGGAGTCCACGCAAACTCAAATCCTACACCGTCATGTGCTCGCAACCAGAAACTTAAGTTTGCGAAGACGATCTCTTGGTCGTGTGATCGTTGGCCCACATGAGCCACAACGGCTGGACACGGAACACAGGAGGCTGGTGGAACCAGAGCCAGAAACGCAAAAATCTCCAGGGGCATGCATCCATCACCGAACACGAATTCACATCATTGATGCTCAGCCTGTGCGACAGGGGGCTGCCAAGTCCGGGGATCGGGATCTGTGGTGTGAACGAGTGGTCACCGTGCAGGATGATGTGGGTCCAGAATTTAGTAATTTATCTGCACTCTGTTGATCTCCATGTGGAATTTCACTACACTATTTCCTGCGGATTTTAGCGTGTAGGCGTTTCCACATACTCTGTGCTTTTCTCTTTAGAACTAAAACCTGAGACTTCGTGGCACCAAATCGTCTCGAAACTGTGCCGTCTTTTTGATACCTGCAGCCATTGTTTGTAACAACAATCCTGTCCACCAGCTCTTGTTCGCCAATCCCTGCAACTGACACCCAATTCTGCGGCCACCAGCCCCAAAATCCGAATGGTCCAACAGATGGGTGCCTGAGGAATGCTACGAGGCTGAACGAGGGTAGGGAAAGCGGTGGCAATGGTGATGAGCCTCACGAAGGTCGCAGCTCCAACATGAGATTCTGTGGCGCTTGCGCGAGACAATCCTTCTGTGCACATTCTGCGTCCACTGTGGGTGCTTCGAAGGTTAAATGCCGTAGTGAAAATTGTTGGTGTTTTGTTAACAAGATTAGCTTTTGATTGGTCACGGAAATTTCTATTTCCACACCGAGAATGCTTGTTTTTTTGCAGTTCTGTATCCCTATTGAGCTCAAGCCCTTAAAACATGTTTTCATCTTTGTGTCATTGAACTTCTGCAGTTTCAATGTGCCCGTTTTTGCACTTGAATTGGTCATAGTTTACGAAATCAGCGGCTTTAAGACTTGCCGACCAGAGAATTTAACTACTACCACAGTGCATGCGATTGAAAGAACTTGTTGCCCAAAATATGTGATTGCTCTGAGTTTATTCAACATTGTCAACTCTTATGTTGGAACTTTCATATGCCCACAGCACAACTTGAAACCTCAATAAATCTAATTTGTTCTAGTTTATTTCGTTTCCATAAAAATTGAAATAACTTAACAACTTTAAGTAAAGGTTATGCGTATGCATGCATATATATATATATATATATATATATATCAAAAATAAAAAATAATAGAAATCCAGGTGTAGATGCAAATTAAATGGATTTGATTACCACTCTAGTTTGTATTGAGTTTCAACAATTGTGCAAAATGTTGTCTTTTGTTTGATGTGAATATTTGAAAAACAGACTTATGATTATGTTCTAAAATTTCATTTTGATGAACCAGGTATGATAATTAATTGTTTGAAAAATAATTAAGATTTGGTAATGATCCTTTCTAAGTGATTTTTTTTTTTTTTTTTTTTTTTTTGAGTGCTGAATAAAATATTCACATATTAAGAAAACTTCAACTTTGTAACATTTTAAAATGAAAATCAAGTTTAAAAGTCTAGGTTGACGCATGACAAATAAAAGAATAAATTAAGGCAACGTAGATTAGTGAAATTACTATACATAGTCATGTAAACAATAGCTTGAATCTAAATATGTTATATACAACTGTCAAAACATAAAAACAGTAGTTTTTGAATGATTAAAATGTGTCATATGACAAGACTTTGAGACATTCAAAACGTAAAATAAAAACTAAATCAGATTTTTTAAAAATTTAAATACATCATGGTGAAGATTTAGGATTTGATTCAAGGTTACACTTGTGTAGATACTAATCCAACACTACTCTTGTCGTGACTAAATTAGTACGTAAAAAAGCAGATAATTAGCCCAATGTTCAGTGTCAAATCTAGATTTGAGAATGATAAACAGCCACGTCCAACAATTCATGAATTGACATGAATTGCAGGAAGGAAACAACCAACTGTATTAATCCAAGGAGGACAATTAGCTTCCAAACTCTGCGGCAGATTTAAATAATTCCATTCTCCATCTCGCTGCCTCTCACTGTTTCTCATAGTAAAAGTCCAAATCCTGCCCTTTGCGAACGCATCACACATCAAACTGTGAGCTCACTTCGATCAGCATCTAACAAGCGTAGACTAGTAGACAACGACTAAACACTCCACCAGATCTGAGTAACAAACAGACAATAAATGCTACACGCTAACCGTCTAGAAAAGCTCATCAGATCAGATTGTCTATTCATGAATTACATTCTCGTCTACAGATCACGATAGAGTTGAACCAGATCACAATTCAGTGACAGTTAGCTCATGTTGCCCTTCATGTTGAAAGGGTTTATCGATCAGCTTGATATTGTTGACTTGGCAACGCACCTGACCCATGTTGCAATCTGTTTGGATACTCATGTTTCGAAGTGCTTGCTGGGCAGGAACCATCGGACACGCTGTAGTGATGGTGGTGGTGGTGAGCGGGCGTTGGTCGAGGTATAACCTCGTCGACATCGATGTTTGTGGCATTTCTGATTTAGGGTTCCACCAAAAGCACCATCGAAGACCATGTCACCGCAGGGTCAACCTTGCACGATGGTGTAGATCGGTTTGTCTTCACTTGTGACTGGGTGTGTGATGGGATCCCTTGGCGTGGGTAACATTCTGAGCACATCTACATCCTTCCCTTTTGTTGAACACCTTTGAGGGGAAAGCTCGGTACTGTTGCGTTCATGGCTGTGATCGATTTGCATCGCTTGTTGGCTTTTCAGTTGCTTGTGTTTAGAAAAAAATTGGCAAAATTGGGGTGCTTTACGAATTGTTCACCACCGTAATAGATGAGCTTCTCATCACACCATCAGAAAGGCAACTGATTCAGGAGCCTGGGTCCGCTGATATGGCTTCGCAGAGTAGATTCAGAGAGCGTTTTGCAGCAGCTGTTGATTTGGTTTTAGCATCGTTGGGGCTAGTTGAAGAATTTGGGTTGTCATCACGGTCATTCGGCGATATTCCGGCAAAATTTGATGCTTGGATAGTTGAAAACCATGAAAACCTTCTGGATGAATATGAGCACCATGACTCACTTCCGCGATGTTTTGGAGGGTTTTAGAAATGCAGATGTGATTGAAGTTTCAAGTGACTCTCAAGTTTTTGCAGGCATTCTTGTACACCAATGGTGTTTCGCTAATTTTAGCACTGGAGTTTTATAGAACAAGCAAGAATTACGGTCGGCTACGTAAATATATCATCGTGACGAAGGAGTTGCTGACATTGGTGAAATTGTTTTCATATCATACTTGCATCATTCTTGGGCAACAAAGCCCACCTCTCAGAATTTCACAGCAGCACATTGATTGCAATCGTGCCCTTCGCTTGCAGCAGCGATGAAAACAGAAGAAACGTTGCAAATAGACATCAAACACTCTTGTACCAGCAGATTTCTTTCCTGTTCCAAGCATCAGCGATAAAATCTAATGAGGCATCGAAATGAGTCTCTTCAGAATTTATCCATCTGTTCAAGATTTTCTTCATCATCCTCATCTCTCCGTTCTTGCCGCGGCCGTGAATTCCCAACGGCTGAGCGATTATAAACTCTTGCACCTTCGCATGATGAGTTATAGCCCTTGTGACTGAGATAGTTTTCCAGAAAGAAAATTGTAAACGTATTTATTCCATGGTCCTTGCTGTGCTCGTTGTTAACCACAAATTGGCTTCTATGATCAATAATCTTGTTCTTGTCTAATTCAACTTTTGTACCGAGTGATTCATTGATTTTGTCAAGAAACAAATGGATACTTAAGCTTGATAGATTGCACTCAAAGCCATTCTTATTATAATCAAATAACCCTGTTGCAAGGGCTTTCCATGCTCTTGTTGGGCCACAAGCCTTGATTCTAGCCCATTTTATCCCCACAGCAGGAAACAAGAACCTTTCAACCACGCAGCACATTTGTGGATTCATGATCGTTTGTCTCAGAACAAGAGAACTATATTTCACAACACAACAAAAAGATTGCGAAAAATAAAAACTAAACTGCAATTTCCTCCACTCCCCATTAATTTATTTCACTCCTCTCTCTTCACATGCCAATCCTTCAACGAGGACGAGCAGGAGAGAAAATCAAATTATTAAGTCACAGTACGCGATGAATGAAAAGTCTAAAATAGGAAAAGTGAGTTCTGTTCACGAAACGTCCACAGTACAAAATAGAACGTTTTGTACTATCTGCCACCACTGGCCTCTAGCTTCCAGAGTTTCTGCAAAGTGCACTTTAAGGTTAAAACAACACAGTGCAGCTGTCAAGTTGATGAGCAAACGGATCTTCAACATGTGGTCTACAATACACATCCCTGCTGTGTTGTCAAACGTTTACTTCATTTTTTTACATTTTTCTCAATATGGAATATCGTCAAAGTGAACCTAACCTTTAGATCTCAAAGCACATTACAGGAACTGCACCACAAAAGCAGAAAGCAGCAATAGTGGTAGAAAACTTTTAGAGAATTTATGCCTTAAAGTTCATGCAGTCGGAACCGGGAACCCAAATATGCAGGTTGTGCTGTCCCTACTATTATAGGAGCTCAAATTAGGTCAAAATCTATCTATACCAGCTATGGGAAGAAATCCCCAGAGCATCTGTTGACAGTCTGCGTCCATGTTCAAAAGTACAAGCCTTCATTGTTTAAAAAACTTTGCACTAGAAGCATTCAGCCAGCGATGCTTTGGTGAACGCCTCATCCTTGTCTTTGTAGTAAGCGGCGTTTGCCTTGAGCACCAAAGCCACTTCTGTCACCAATGAAGAACCCATGTTGTCTCGCAGGGCCTTACTACTTTCTAATGCTGAAATGCCCTCCTCTACTGTCCCCGGCAACGTCCGCACGGACTCTTTGTCTTCCTCTTCAATCTCTGTGTCTGAGGTTCATTGCAACCAACAAGTCACGAGTCTGATTTCACGAGGTCATGTGCATCAACTTATCTGTAGAGTAAAGTAGGACAATTTGTAATAAAACTAATGGGAACCTAAAGGGTTTTAGAAAACAAAGGGGGGTTATGCACACCTATGGGGTCGGGCAAGTGGATATGCTTGCGTAGGCCATCGATTCCTGCAGCGAGGATGGCAGCTAAGCCATAGTAAGGATTACCACACGCGTCAAATTGCCTCAGCTCCAGGCTGCTTACCACATTTTCAGCAGAGCATAACGTTCGAAGAGGTGCTGTCAAGTTGCCTTGTCCCCAGAAATGATAGCGGGGACCACTAATTGAATCATAGCTGCCATGCAAAACATGCAAAACAGAAGTCATCAGTATAAGTATACTGAGAGAATCACTCGCCAATGTTTTTCAAAAATGAATTACATGGAGAATTGAACTCTAACTGTCCATTCTTTTCTTGAAGATTGCAGTTCTGCATTCCACTTTGATCATGAGGCGAAACGTGTCAATGTGGAAAAAATTGAGGTCAGATTCAACGCAGTAGAGGATCCAACACAATCCAGAACAAGCGATTTACCTTAATTGGAGTGGAGCAGTCAATGCAAGAATAGCGGGCAAGTGATGGAAAATTCCACCCAAGAACTTTCCTCCAATTTCAGACAACCCATACTTATTTTTTGAGGGATCCTGGGACCCCAATACATTCTCTTCCATTTGCCACAAACTCGTTCGGACCCGCGAGCTACCAATACCTGAGTTTGCGTGCCTACGAACGGGCGGTATAAGAAACTAGATCAGTTTATGACAAAAATATTCCCTTCAAAAACCTTGAAGCTGAAAAGCATACGAACAAAACTGACAATTGTTTAAGTCTGAAGGAAGACATTGCGGTAGCCCTCTACATTCAGAATCTAAATGACATACACTAAATTGATTGAGACAATATAGTCAGACAGGATGAGAAGTGCTTACAAGTTGGGAACAAAAGAAGCACGCAAGGAGTGCTTGCTGGCTATTGCCATCACAGTATCCTTAACAAGGACAAGGTTGTCGGCTGCAGTGAGAACCTGGGCTTCTCCAATGGAGATAACAAACTGGCCTCCTCCTTCACAGTGCATCTGTACAAAACCGCAAAAATGAATGAAGATCTCATAATAAAAAGAACAATCTACAAGGCCAAAATAGAACCAGGCCCGTCAACTTATTCCGCAGTTCATCACATAAATCTAAAGAATGGCTTCTATAGTTACCTCTTCAACGTGAATGTTAAAGGATGATAGAACATCGTCAATTTCAGCCAAGATGGACGAAGCTACATGTACACCAGCTGCAGATGAAAACGAGCTTGTGTTGAGAAATTCCAAGTTCTGGGACCCAGTAGATTTCTTGAGAAGATAGAAACCAACGTCAAATCCCGCCCGCATCACCTACACACCAACATCAACCCAAAGTTTTCTGCAGCTCTCAGCACTTGTACTCGGTCAGTCTAGAGCAAAAACACTCTGAAATGAAACATGTCCAAAAATAAAATTTTACGGGTTACATAAAAAAGAAAGGCCCATGAGAAGCGTGCTTCTCATTCTTACAAGATTGAAGCTCATGCGTAGTGTTTGCGACAGGCGTTGAAGCGTATTGCGAGGGCAGTATTCCCACGGAAGTCCAGGCTTCTCGTGAATATTCGTGAATACCAAAGCATCCTCTGGGCACCTACACCAGCTCAACTACTTCACAGTTATTACTTAAGGCATAATACTAGTTATTGAACCGCCAAGGAAAAACTCTGTATGTACTCACAAGGCAGCAACACAACGAACAAAGAGCCTCGGGAAGAGCTTACCAGGGAAGAGTAACCTTTGTGCTCAGATCTGGCATGAGACGAATTTCGCCAACAGCATTGAATGCCGAGTTGGGAACAGGATAATCCGCATAAGAAGCCAAGAACATAACTATGTTCGCAAGACCCACGCCGTGCTCCACTACCACCTCCTCAAACCTTCGAATAGGGACTATCTGCATTTCATTTCAACACCATTTCACCATCCCAATATTTAAATGTTGTCGGTTAAGTCAACGAAACAAAGTGAATACAATCGATGGCTGCCCAATGTCGACTGTCCCCTCTCAAGTCATGATGCTGAACTTGTCATCAGGCTACTAGAAGCATGTTGTCAGATCTCAGCAGGCACAGAATTTAACAAGTGGACTATGCTTAGCTGGTGTGGAAAACGCACCCGACAGCGAAGAAGCCCTGATGAGTCAACAAACATCAACCGAACGTGCTTAACCTCAATAGGCTTGGCATCAACCGCCACTGCATTAACGGTGCCAGCTACACGAGGTATCACTGCCACAGGAGCCGCGGCTACAGCTTTTACTTCTGCAGGTCTCTGAGTCGGCTCTTCAGGCTTTGTAAATCTAGGTGTTGGATTTGTCTCAAGAGTGGAGCCATTAGGATGAGCCGGCTTTGGCACTGCAGCTAGAAGTCGGAACTCAAAAGTGGGAGGCTTTTCAACAGTTAGTGAAGGAGCAAGAGACTCTTGTAATCTCATAAGACTTTCAGTTGAAAGAGTCCGCTGAATGCCTGTGCGCGCCCCTTCAAGCTTGTAAAATTCAAGTGCATTACGATTCAAAATCAGATGAGCAGCTCCAACTGCTTCTTCAAGTGTCAAATCGCCATTATCATATGACTCACATAACACGCGAGTTAGAATATCTCGTGACCACTTCGCCCCTACAAGACATACACACACAAAACCATATTACACACTTTTGAAGATGTCTACAAACGTCCATCAGGATTTTTTCACTCTAATTCATGCACGGAAGGACCAACTTCTCTTCACAAGTGAAATTGGTAGCATTATATTCAAAGTTGGCAGGATTATATGATTATGACTCACAAACCTAAATAAAATGTCTCAGGAAAAGCGTATCCGTCACTGCTGAACATGATCTGCAACACAAATTCCAAGAAGTTTAGAGAGGAATAAAAAACATCTAGTCCGTGACTTTGATTGAATACTAATTTTTAGCTTTTGTACTGTGACTCATAAACTTGGAAAGGATTATAGTGGAAGAAAAGGGCTGATTATCACTTTAACTTAATCCAGTGATTTCCAAGTCCACTGGCTCTTTTTTCAACTCCAATCATCATAGTACATGAAATCCTTCGTAAACAATAACTCTATACTTAAATTTCACTGAAGATGTAATCTCCAGAGGATCTCACCTTATTCACAGGTGCCAGATCAAGAAGATCGCTAAGAGCACACCTCATCCCTCGAACACTTAACATGGGCACAACGAGTCCGAAATCAATGTGCACCTGCCGATCCATGGGTTTCCAAGACAGAGTTGCAGTGCATATAAGTATTCCTACCATGACAGCAAATACGCTTTCACTTTCTACAGATAAATATCGCAAGATCAAGAGAACAAGAACAATAGTACAACTTTAATGTTGCGACAAATATACCTGCGGGTAGACGCTCGCAAGATACGATGCCTCGCGCATAAATGGGTAAGACCCATGAAGAAGAACGATGCGGCTCTTTGCAAAGAGCGGGTCTTCAAGGATAGCACGAAGATGTAGGGGATTGGCCAGCTCCAGCTGCAAGTCCTTGTCGCCAAAGCTAACATATCATGCACAAAAGGAAGCCTTTCTGTAAGCATCAGCGTCACAAACTTCACGACTTAGGCCCTGGCAGTCAAATATTCACGATTGATCCTACATAAAATGCAGAGTGCAAAACGGAAATTACCCAGTATGGATTTGCATGGGGATGTTATGTTCAGTGGCGACCTCGAGTGCACGGACAAACATGAAGTCAATAAAGGCTTTGTTTGAAACTAAGATAGGTTGGCCCGCCTCGTGATTCCCTGCACAGAAAAAAGAAAAAAGAAAAAAACCACTAGAGTACTTAAGATATGATCTCAAACGAGCTTTTAAACCATGTATACAAACATCACTGCAACCAGAATCTAAACATTGTATGAAGAGGAATAATCCACATACGCAGATCTTCATGGAGACCAGTCTCGGCAGCTTGCGCTTTGACATGAGGGTTGATACGAAGGCCGCTGCGATACGCGCAAATGCTCTTGAACGCCACTACCTTCTCCGAAAGTGTAAAGCTTTCGAGTTAAAGAATTCATCTCAAAATTCCAAGCAAAGGAACAACGAATTCAAAGGAGAACTGTATTTAGCAAGTTCCTGAGAGTGCACACAAGCTCACGAGAATAATAACTTAAGCCTGGCATGGCGTGTTTCATTGTAACAGAAGTCTGGCTAGTGCCTTATTATCAGCGAATATGGTTTAAATAAATGAAGAAAGTTCAATGAAGGATATGACTCTAAAGTCGACACAAAACGATGGTCGAAGCTCTCCAGTGTCCATCTTGAAAATCCGCCTTGGCTCTGTCATGAAGAAGTTCGAACAAGCAGTTGTCATGCACCAAGTAACGGCATTAGCAAGATATGATATCGAAAGCAGTGTTGCGACTGATCAAGCTGCTTACCACGGGTTGGTTGAGCACGGCCTCCGCAACCGTTTCGATTCGAAGGACTCTGTGCACACCAGGAATGTATTTCCGGTGCCAACCCATGCCCAACATTCGATCCATAGTCAAGCCGTCGTCCAGGAGGACACATTCGATGTTTGCGCCGCCGAAGCATTTCTCACTAACCGCTTCGAGTCCTAAAGATTCTCGGTGTGCCTTGAGAGAAGACTCATTCGGCTCCACACCATACATGTCTCCCAGCTCTTGGAGACTTCTCTGTCAATGCCAACAACTCGCAACTGTAATGAGAAAAATGATTTACGCTGCCAAGGATAAAGCTATTACACCTTGAGCAGCAAAACCCTACAGAATGCAATGTACTTGTAAGCTTGATCTTGTAAACCGGAATTCTCCCCTGCCTGTTCATGAAGATTTCCAAATCCGTCGGGCTTATCCCTTCCTACTGCAGATGTGTTGCTCTGGGGCTTCAATAATGTGCATGATTTCGCAAAATGGCAAGAGTAGAACTTACAGGTACAGGAGAGACGGACCTGGTAAGCGAGGCTGAGTGGCACGCCCGACAGAGTCTCGTGGCCGCGCTCATCGGAGAGGCATCGCAGGAAGGGCAAATTGGAGTCGAGAGCCACCACGTTGTGGGCATGGGCGTCCACAAGCGGCACATTCAAGCATGTCTGACGGATTTTTTCATGGTCTTGCTCCAGCGTGCTTGCCATCTTCCTCCTCTAGGCTCCCGATCCAATCCTCGCCGCACACTAGATCCGCTTCGCAAGGATGTTGGCCGTCTTCAGTGACCCAATGCGATCGGATGCCAAGCCTAGTATGCTTGAAATTCACCCACAGAACAAACTCATTCCTCGATGTAGATCAACACTCGTGTCGATTACAAAAGAAAGCTCAACTGGTGCACACAAGCCACAAGCTCCTTAATCTCCACACAATCGATCTCAAATTTGTTACAGGAGTGCCTGCGATCCATGCCAGCAACAATGAGGCTTCCAACATAAGCTTGAGAGTACTCTCACGGTTATGTCTCAAAGTTTCTAAACATTTCGCAATAGGACAGGAAAACTTGATAAGAAACTCCGGCGTGCATGGGAAAAAACGAAGCTGAGAAAAAATGGTTCTAAAAGCATCAGATCGCACCCTAAAAGAATCTCCCACAGAGAGCAACAAAATTCCCAGACCCTCGTCCTGACTCTACTCGCCTCACACGCAAGGAATGGCTAATTCTCTAGTTGTAGTGTAAATTGACTGACAACTAAACACCTCGAATCTTCTGCAAAGCTTCGTTACAAAACCAATCATCTAATGACTAGCACTGCAAAGAAGCTCTCCCCTTTCCCCTTACCGCGTGCCTGTCAACCTCAAAAGCTGAAGTCTTTTTTAAATAATATGAGATAAATTATTGAATGTCTGATTTTTATTTTATTTTTTTATGAAAAAAGAACAGATTTTCTAGAAGAAACAAAAGCTCGGCAACTATCAACCTGAGCAACGGAATCGATCAACCAACGAGCACAGCAAAAATACCTTCACAGGCAAATGTTCCAAATCCTAATTCGAGAGGAGATGCATTCAAAGGAAAACCTAAGAGAGGCAGCGACGCCGGAACGCATTATTACATCTAAACATCTAGATTAATGGACTACGGATACGGTTGTGTGGACAAGATAATTGGTCATAACCAGCGCCAGCCCACCTTCAAGACAATCACTACCTCTCTTGTCGCAGACAAGACGAAAGACACGAGTCTCATCTCTGGGATGAGACACCCACAGACAAGCTCGCATTCCTTCTTTATCTTTTCCATGTGCCAGGCGGCTCATCTTTCTGATATTAAAAAGGGGATGGGGGGCCACCAGCGAGTCACGAAGCTATTACTTCGGCAGTCTCCCGATTGCTGATCCTCACGACTCAACTTTCACTTGCGCTTCCACTTACCCTTTTGTCCATCTGTCATGCCTCTGTGACTTGGCGCGGCAGGATTACACTGAAGCAACAGCAGCATACATGGTATTCACAAAAAAGTGAGACAGACGAAACAGTGTCCTCACGACCACAGTTCTAACAGCGACGATAACCCTCTGAACCATCGATCCATCCAATCACACATTCCTCCTGCAGGTAGTGACTTGCGAGGAGACCGTGCCAGTGATTCCTAGCATCATTCTTATGCCCACCTTTGCTGATCTCTTTGACTCTCCTCCCCAAAACATGAGTGCGGGTGTGGTGTGTGTGTCTGTTTGTTTGTGTGTTTGTGTGTGTCTAAATATCTCTCTCACTCACTCGCTCTTCAGCATTGTGCTAAGATCCACGACTTCCAACATCACGATTGTTCCACTCACGGTAATGACATTCCACGAGATCAGTAAGTGATTCACTTTCTGTCTAGTGCTTCCACAGCTTGCTAGAGCGCCAGCAATCAGCAAGCTGCGGCATTCCGTTTCGATGTTGCTCCAAAAGCATTAAACTGCTCAAAATGTCTGCAAGGGACCCACGCCCGACTTGCGAGGTTAGCGCATTTCATCTACAGTGCTGTCTTTTGGGTGTTTATCATCTTCCTTGATCGCCCCCCTCCATGACCTCAACTCTACCAATAATTTATCGTATTGATTTCATGTCTGGTTCTTTTATTATCATTATGATTATTATTATTATTTGGGTGTAAAACATGTGCCTTGATTTTGGAATAAAAACTGAACACACCTCAGAAAACCATCATTTTTTCATGTAATTTTAGATCTGAAAATAGTGATTCTAACAATATTATGAGTAAATTATAAATATATGTTTCGAATCAGGCGAATGCAATTAATCGATTAGATAAATTGACACTTGACCAATTATAAAAATCTTTTTTTAGGAGTGCAGTGGGTCAGAATAAAATGAAGACTTTTTGCAATCTAGTAACCTTCTTACCCCTTAATCATAGTATGTTACAATGTATACAATGAATATATTATGATTAATAAATTCATGCATACATATTTGTAATTATTGTATACATTGTGTCAAAGGCACGGCATTCGTTAGAGAATTACATGAAATTCCAATGTAATTCTACTATTTCACGCAAACCAGTGGCACTGTAATAATCTCCACTGCGGGTCCAAAAAGACCAAGTTTACCTCAACAAGTGCTGAAAAGCAGCAGTTGGGTGGCAATTCAAACGCCTCAAATTGGGACCCTGCGTATAGGAGCAAGCTTCTGGAAAAGACTTTGTTTCAATTGACTGCAAGCTAAGTGCATGGGACTAAGAGAGTTAGTCACGTAGCAACACTTGGGGGTGAGTCTTCTAACCGATAGTTAGAAAAGTTGGAAAAATATGACTTGGAAATAAGACCCTTAGATGCATTACCACAAGCAACAAAACCAGTCTAAGTCACAACTAGTGGGGAACTGGCAAGAAGTGTGTGTGAGATGTACCCGTTGGTAGAGGCCAGAAGCCTGTGAATATTAGAATTACATGAAATTCCAAATTCGTAATATTTTGTTAGCAATCATGAACTCCAAAATTCGAAGCATATATCTGTAACTTTTTGTATGACATGGACAATAATTGATAACAAAAAAAACGCTCAACTCAACAGACATGCGAAGAATTCTGAGAAACCAAAGTTTGTATTCAATATATGGAGTAATAGTCAAGTAGTAGAAAAAATATGGTAGAACCAGTGATGCACCCACACATGGAAAAAGTGTACGTGTTGGATGGGTTGAGAGCTTAGGAATTGGTTGAGAACTACTGTATTGGATGCTTGGGATCCAGTATGAGAAGCACTTTTGAGCAATTAATCATGGGAGGTGTGACTTAGGAGTACTTATCAGACAGAGTTTTGGTGTCCTGTCCCAGTCCTGAAGTTGTTCTCGCTGGTCCCATGGAATAAGCTTCGGTGGGGCTTGCGGACGTCATGGAATGCTTGTGAACCCTAAAACCTGTCAGGAATGTGGCCCCTTTTATTGTGTGAGTCCTTTGGTCTTTGTCCACCCAACCTCCTGGACATGAGGTGGGTGTTGTCCTACTTCACATGCACCACGTCCAATGCCAACATGGAGGAATGCATGTCAACATGATCACCATCCTCGTCTTCTTCGGTGACTTACCAACACTATTTGAGCCACTCCTGGAGCGGTGACTGTGAATGTCACCGGTTCTGAAGGCTTTTTTTCGAGATTTTCCTTTATTCTGCACAATAATAGAAGTCCAGCAAAATACATATGGGTCTTTGTAACAGTTGGGATGCTTCTCCACATGGATTACGTGAGGCAGAAGCACCAGCAAGTGGTGATGAACCAAAAGCGTGAGAATGCAGGCCGGGACGCAGAATCTCCTGTACAGAAAATGTTGATACCCCCAATGCTCCAGGGTTGCTAAGGCGAGTTGAAAAGACTGTAATGCTATGTAAAAATAAGAATTGAATGCCACGCCTCACATTTGAATTATATAAAAGCAGGGCTCATCGAGAGCAAATTGAAATGGGAAGATTACTTGCAACATCAGAAATGTGGTGACTGGGTATTGCATCACATTTTTTCCCTGAGGTCAACATTTTCCCTGTCCTAAAGCGACTCATGCCTTATGACATGATATTGTACAGATGATTTTAAATGCTTACAGATTGGGTGATAAGTACCCGTCACACATTGCCGGTGGACGCAATGAAGTGAACGACTAGCATTACAGAGAGTTTCGATCCTACGGATTTGAGTATCAAGAATGAAAAGCAATTACATATGAACTGCTCAACTTTAAATTACATAAAACAGAGTGCACACTGGTGCTTCACTAAAATAACATTACCACCTCTTACTGGTAAATGTGTAAAGGCAATTGGATTCCGTAGTCCTTCCAGTTCTTGGATGGAATCACAAGCTTGCGCATTCTTGTCGAACAACTACAAAATTTTCTCCAGTCCATAGACGAGAGACTGCCCAAAAATACACACATGCACGCACCCAGTATCCATAAGTGAGGTGAAAAATCGAACGAAGCGTCGGCTATAAATAGTGAAGGCTGCGATGAAATGCTTTTTTCAACAATGCCAAGTTCAACCGCAAGATATCCATACTACCAGCGTCAAAACAGCATGAGGAAATGTGAGGAAATTAACCTTCAGCCGCACTACCCTCCGAATTGCCATAATTAACCCAGGCATCAATGCCTTCACGTCTGTCACATCGTGCCGAAAAGATAGCGTCTGCATTCTTCCACATAACAGCCTGCTTAGAATCCTTAAACCAGAGCACTACACGAATAGGATGAAAGAAAAGTGCCTAAAGAGAGTTAACAAACTGAACTACCTCTCCAGGACCCGCAAACCGAACGTCAACGCTAGATATGAGCCCTGGCAAGGCCATGCTGTGTATACGCACTCCATCTCCGACAATGTCTCCCCTAGCCTGCATAGAGATCATGTCGGAGACCATGCGATATAGTACATATATTTAGCACAGCTGTGTGGGAGGAGAACTCATAAAAAAGCAGTGGCCAAGTTCACATTAACGTACCAGAAATTCCTTTGAGTCGTCGCCCTCATTGTACATCTGTCCGAGGCCTGAGAGGCTGCTGGCAAGCTGAGTCGCTTGTTGCGAGGGGTATTCCTAGTTGAATAAAAAATCAATACTCAGAAACCAATACATGCTATGGAATTGCAAAGGAAGTCGTAATCAAATACGGCTAACGCGGGCGTGCAAATATTGCTGGTGAACATGCTTAATGCTGGGTACCACTGATAAGCAGAGACTTACTGATAAACCTTCTTGTGATTCAATGATCTCAACATGTTTGTACTGAAAAGCTGCGGACGCTGCAGCTTGTTGGAGCAGCACCGCGCCAATCGACAAAGAAGGGGCCACAATACACCCCTGACCACACCCACCATCCAAATAACCTCACCTTGATAATGTTAATTGATTAATTAACTAAGATTTTATAGATTGAAATTAAAGTAGGAATGATTTAGAAATCTTGCAATAGAGCCTGATTGGCACAGGCTAAAACAGAATTTTGACTGCATTGTTGACATGAAGAAGGAGGTCTCACCGTTGCTCACCGTGCTGGCCTTCTCACAGAACGAAGAAAGCGCCCCAACTTTATCCATTCCTAAGCCTGGCACTCCCACAACGCTTTTCAAGCCAAACGCTGTTGCCTGCGCTTCACAACGTGGCGTGAGTAAAGATCATGGAACCTTTTTTCACCTCAATCATCTCCCCGACCAACAGTAGAATACGAGGTAACTAGCCGAATCCAAGACACTGACAGCATCATCGAGACACTATTAAGCATCTCAAAAGGTCTCGAAACTACATGATTGTCGAGTTGTGGATATTGTACCTGACGGACATTTTCGTAAACTGCAGCAGGGTCGTCAAGGTCCACAAATACTCCCATAGATGTGCCCTACACCCCCCCAGCAAACTCTTAAGATATTTGTAAATAAGGACGACGTAGGGAGTAAATTGCCACAAGAAGCAAGATTTCACTAAAGGATTGTGAGGATGACAGATAGTGTTTACCTGAGAGAGGGATCCTAAAACCATGACAATGTCATTCAAGATAGGTATCTCCAACGATTCTGCAAGTCCTGCCACCTGCAACCATGAGCCCAGCAGGATTTGCGTTACGTCAACCCGTAATCACAACAACTTATAGGTTCTCCTCCTCCAGCACTGATATACGAAGGGTCAACAACTACGTACCTCACCCGCGTCTTGGCCTTGATATTTGGAGTCCAAGGCGCCGGCTACCTCCATACCTCGCGCTTTGTGAATTGCAGCAACAGCTGCCTTGCCCAACTCTGAGCCAGCTCCATTCACAACGACCTAGTCACCAATGAAATGCAATCACAAACAGAAATAATACAAAGAACTTTTCATTGAAGACTGGATAATTAGATATATTTCAGAACCCCACAAAATGAAGTGCTAAGCTTAAGCAACCGTGAACCAGTATCTCATCATTTTACATTCTCTAACCATTGACGTTACAAGGAATATGGCCATGAATTTACCATTCTCAACATTTAGAGAATCACCTTTATGACGTTAGGGTTACGGTTCGATCCCCCAATGGAGCACAATGGCGGGCAGAAACTACGTCGACCCCGACCAGTTAATACTGGAACTGTCCCCAACACAGCATGTGCGCAATGCCCAAGGCTCGCGGAGCTTGGAAGCCCCATCACCTCTACAAAAAGCTTCGAAAATCAGCAATTGGAACACCCAACAGGTGGTCTTGGTTAGATTATCCTGCTCGTAAACCAAGGATTCAAACATTCAATGATCTCGAGTGTGCTCAATCTGCCGAAGCTCTCAGAACAGAGGCCCTGCTTGCGTTCTGGATTAGACACTTCGTCTACAATGCCGGATGTATCATCCATAAGGCATCCCATCATGACGTGATGTAGCGTCATCACGGTCTCGCCATGGTTTCGACGACGGTACCTTTCGGTCGTTTACTCAATTTTTAAGTCCCGGGTATTGGGATTCTAGGGTTTGAGTGAGTAGGGCAAAAGCCTTTGCGTTGGACTCAACGAACTCTTTCCCGGCTTCACTGTCGGTCTTCGGGTGCCTTCCACCTCCATTGCCGTCGTTCACAATGGTACTGAACTTTCTCTTCTTTTTTGCTTAGCAGTGACATTGTGCTTGGGGGCTTTGTCCCAACGCGTTTCACAAACCTCTTGAAGGTTTCGGCAGGGGTTGCAACCATCATGTTAAAACCTAGTTCTTGAGCTGAATTGAATTGTGTTTCGTGGATGTGAGGATTAGTTGTGAACATATATGTAAGGATTATCGAGCCCCATTCGTGCTTTTGGATCTTGGTGATATTATGGTTAGGGTTTATTGCGGATGGGTTTACTGAGCTATGGACGTGGTGCGTTTATATGTATCTTCTCTTTCTTGCAGACGAAAGGTACTGGAAGCTTTGGTAAGCGCCGGAACAAGTCACACACGCTGTGCAGGCGCTGTGGCCGCAGAAGCTTTCACATCCAGAAGAGCCGCTGCTCGGCTTGTGCCTACCCTGCCGCGAGAGTTCGCAGCTGTAAGTGGCTTTCTTCCTGGATAATTCCTTCATTCTAATTAAGGCCGGAATTGTCTTGTTACCTGCCATCGGTCGTTATCAGCCCTTCACGGTTTTATAATCATTCATTATGAATCAGTAGCCCTACATGCTTCCTTAGCTACCATACACATTTTCGCTCAGAAATTTAGAACGCAACATAAAAATTTTAGTTCTTAATGAACCACGAATGAATTGTTCAAGGATCAACTGTCTCATAGTTCTTTTAATTCATGTCCCAGACAATTGGAGCGTGAAGGCTATCAGGAGGAAGACTACCGGAACTGGACGTATGCGCCACCTGCGTCATCTTCCCCGTCGATTTTCTAACAATTTCAGAGAAGGTGCGTCCTACAGTTCTGTTCTGTGTTCAGTTAAGATTATTCATGCGAAAGAGATCACCAGTGTCTTCAACATGACAATTATCAGCAGTGTGTTGCGGGGTAGACTTCAAGATTCAGGGGGGGGGGGTTGAGTCTTTTGAAGTACTTCGCACAGCATGCCAATTAGTATTTTGGGTGCGTTGTTTTGCTCATCACCAATGTAAATTCAAAACCTTTTGTGGTCGAAGTATGTATTACTGTTTTTTGTATCATTTCGTTGGCGTCGGAGAGAACCATCAGGAGTTGCTATAATTATCTATCGATTGCAAACAATCTAAGAGGCGACCTTGAACCTTGCAGGAACCCAAGCAGCTCCCAAGAAGACGGTTGCCACGTCTTAGAATTGAACCAAGTTGAGGAGAACATGATGACGTGGGTATTATGATGACCACAATTTTATTTCAGCATGTTGGGAGGTTTTATTTGTGACCAAACGAGCAAAGTATCAGTAAAGGCTTGAACATTGAACAAGCATCTCGTATTTCAAGTCTTTTGTGTGGATGTACGAATTTCCTGCAGAGATGTGGTCTAAAATTGGAACTTTTGTGGATCAAGCATTTCCAAATCCATCGAAGCGCACAAGAATCGCGACTTCCCCCTCATGATCTATTGGAAACGCCGCAGTATCTGTCATTATTAGAGGATTTTCGAGCACTGCCTCGTGAGACCCATCACAGCTGAATTCAAAGATATAGTAATTGTGGTTACCAGAAATTAACAAGTAGGGGGAGTAGCTCAAATGGTAGAGCGCCTGATTCGCATTCAGGAGGTAACGGGATCGATGCCCGTCTTCTCCAGGGGTCATTAACAACATTTCGTACAGTCGATCTCCGAAGCTTTTTCCGCTTCTCCGCGCTTTAGATTTGCTATTAAATGTTGGAAGCGCGCGAATTATTTCTCTGCAAAGATTGATAAGAAGCACTGAGAGTGGAACTTGTTTGGAGATTTGATCCATTTTAACCCGTGTTACCTAGCCAAAATCATTACCACGTATGATATTGAAAAATAAGCCTCAACCCATTAGCTGGTGCCTACTTTTCTGGAAAGAACGTCTCTCAGATAAGATGGATTTTCAGTTTCTACCCAACGAACGGATCTGAACAAGTCTGAGAACATAAAGATGATTCTTTCGTACTGTATCAATTTGATTGAAGGACTCCTAAGTTCTACAATCAAATTGATTGTAGCATGAAATAGTTCCACTTTAAGATTACTTGAGCACATGTACCAAAAGTGTTTTCCAGATAGAATCATGCGTACACAACTCCCAACTCTCAACTCCCACATTACAAAATCCCATCGATCTCTTAACGGCAAAATCTTTAATTCAAATTATAAATCTACACTGGTGTGTACAAATTTTGAAAACTTAATATTTCAATATCAAAATGGAAACTTTTATAATAACTATATCCCATTCGTGAGATGCACACCCTGTGGTTCTCCTCACGAATGCAATTTACAGTAATGTACAAAGTTATGGCAAACTTGGATCTCAACATCTGTGTGTGATTAAGTAATATCGTCTCCTAAACTTCATTTCTTATTTGAGCCAAACTTGATCGACAAACTAGACTCCAGAGCTGGAGGCAAGCCTTTTCTCCTCTTCACCCCTCCACAGCTTGAACACTGAAACACACCACAAAAAATAATTGAAATGTAGACATTGCTCGTCAAATACCAAGACACTGCACATTGCAGAACAACGAGCGTCGTAAGCGAGATGCTCTTATTGCTTTACTTTATGCAACAATATAAACGAGCAGAATATCCGACCTTTTCTATACAGCGTCCAATACATAGTGGACAAGGGTCAGTATGCCGAAGCTTGCCCTCCCAGGTAAGAATACCACGCCCCTGGCAAACATGACAAGATTGCACTCCATACCCATCGCATTTTTCGCAAACTTTCTGCGACAAAATCCAAAAACGATTCACGTCAGGTATGATAGCTCATGGACCTCCAGGAACATCAAATGTCTATGAGTAGAATGATTAGGGCAGTCCAGATAGTGCGTGATAATCCATAAACAAAGGATGCAAAAGTTCTGTGTGAAATTTAAGATTTTCCAGCTAAAATGAGGGATGGTAATGTAAGAGTAGGTCCAACTAATAACCTGTGGAGTGCCAGGCATAAAGCCTTGATTCTTCACAGCAGTCTTCAATCCAAGAGCTGCAACTGAAAATGCAATTACAATACCCATCGGCCCTACAAACACACCACGATCGTGAATTCATACAATCGCATGATAAACCCTCGAATCCGTTTTGATTCGCGCAGTAAAAGAAAATGCCAAAAATCACATTAGAACAAGAAAATTCTCTATTGTCGTTCAAAATACAATACTAAGTGAGAGCACAGTCATACCTGGCAATTTGACGCTGTGCAAAGGATGGCCAGCCGGTACTGCGGTGTGGGACACTGCACGCCTCCCCGCTGACGAAAAGCCTTGTGATATAGACATTTGCGGCGGCCTACATCTTGCAGATCTCTTTGTATCAAAATCATGACCAATATCTGAAAGAATGAGGAACCGGCCAGTTAGAGAAGAAATTGTACTGAATACTACTCATTTGCAATCACATAATATCCCTGCTTTGACTACATTCAGCATTACATTAAGGTGATACTTAAGCACATAAGCTTCACCTAAACTTTAACACATGATTAATTCACAACATACGAACCTGCATGTCTCTCTGCAAGCGTCCCATCCTTAAATGCAGTAGCTTGTATATATTGAGATGCATTCTGGTTGCTGATATTACCTTCTACTTCATTAATGCGAGCCCCGAACTGTTCCTGTGAAGTAGTGACAGGTGAGGAGGTGCCAATTGCTGCAGAATCTTTTGAATTATTTGTAAACTTCGGATCATGCCACAAGTTCTGCAGTGTACTTTCAAACCCTTCGATCAGCGGAGAGTCAAACGACCTGATAGACAATCCACAATCTAAAAATATCAATAATTTGGTACCATAGTACAGATCAAGAGAGCCGGCGTTACACAAAATAAACTAGGATACTGTCAAAGACGATTTAAGCGTCTTGTTTCTGATAATAAGAGTATTCGATCCTGATGGTGATGTTATACTAAACAACATGAGGCCGAAAACTGAGTAAATTTAACACAGCAGGGCTTGTAAAGAATATTTGATGAAAAATGAACTATTAGCGATGTTAGTGCCCCATATAGTACATGACGTGAAACAGAATATGAATGTTTTCAATAATATCCAGACAGGTATTCTAATAATAACTACAGCCCAAAATTATCATCGGAATTAAAAATCACTTCAAACAGAAAAACAGATACCTTCGGGAAAGCTACCGTTTTGCTAGAGCACAGTTAAAGCCGAAAAAACTGCTCGTACGCCTCTAACACACGTGTTTCTCAAGAGATCAAACTCACCTCGCCACTACCTGCATCCCTAGCTGCTTTCTCCTCTGGCGATTTCTCAAAGGAAGCTTCAGCATTCCATCAGCGGGGAATGTAAACCGAAGACTCTGTCCGGCCGCGTCCGAGAGCTCAAAATTACTGCAACCTGGCGTCGATGCCACGGAACCAAAACTGCAGCAAGTTGTACACATTGGTACGTCCCTTACAGAGGCTGCCATAGCTGCACCAGAACTCGCTTGCTGTATAGGGACTCACTCAAATAACAATCCAAACAGAACAACTACCCGCCCAACTGTATCGCAAACTCTCAGCTCAAAACAATTAACCAACGAGACAACCCACTTCACCAAGAACCACCTGAGCTTAGAAGAACCACACAGCAGAAAAAAATCCTCTATTCAGAACCTTCAGGATACACCACTGCAGCAAAACCAAGTGGGCAAAAGCAGTCCTCTCATTAACACTACATTACACGCGCAACCGTTTAAAGAAGACGGCGAAGATATCACTACAATCCATTGGATCCAAAAAGCATGGAGGTGGGATAGATTTTGAAAGGCACGAAGATAGGATTACACCCAGCGTAGCCATAATAAGTAATGCATTGAATTCTTTCATTGATCCATTATCCCGATATTGCTACAGGATATTTAAAAAAAAAAAAAAAAAAAAAAAAACGCTCAGGAAAGGATTCACAATTGGATGTTGGAGATAGCCAGGTGCGAGCCGTAACGGGGTTCCGTGAGAGACAAGCAGGTGCTCTGCCGCCACAGAGTAACCCACCAAAGAAAACCATGCGTGGGTGTGTGGACCGCAACTAAAGGAATTCAAAAGCACCAGGCTGAAAAACAAATGTGCCACATTGGTAGAAGTTTCAATGCCCGGAGGATATTTCTTCCCCACTTTCTGGCCCTCACGCAGGAAAAACCACAGATTCAGATTCCATTCCAGCGACTCCACTGCGACGAATGCTTCTCGCTTAAGTCCTCTTCTCTCCCTCTTTTGCAAAGAACATCTCAACGTGGCAGAGAAAACTCTAGTACTCAAATTTGGCAACACCGTCGAGACACAATCAATCGGTGCAGTTCCTACCGCAGCCCTAAGAAGAATTAACTGCAACTTAAATCTCTCCCCCATCAGCCTCCTAATCTCCGTCAAGCCTGGCGGCGCTCCGCTTCTTGCATCGTAAATGACGACGGCCTTCAATTCATCGTTGTTTCGTCAGGGAGGAAATCCGTGCAGTTGGCCACAAAAAGGTGTGAAAGTTTAATTTGTGATTTCTAAGTCAAAATTTGATCATTCTTTTTTATAAAAAATGTTGACCAAGATAATAAAAAAATAAAAGAATAAAAAAGATTAAAAAAGATTATATGCATGGAATAGAACCAATTTTGTTTTTGTAATGTAGTTGGAAAACATAATTTTTATTTACTACAACTTAAATAACTAAGATAACAAAACTTCCGAATAAACTACATTTATAATGGTGTTTTCATCTTTATTATTTTTAGCATATAAGATCTTGATTATATTTGTAGAAATTGAAACCCATGCCATTAAGCACACAAAAGTGTTCTTGTGTGTTTCCATGGGTTCTTGTGCATTCTCATGAGTTCCTCGAGTTCCCATGTACCCATGTTTCTTTGAGTTCTTGAAGGTTCTTGTGCATTTCCTAAGTTCTTGTTAAATGTAACTAACTATTTTTTAAATTTGTTGGTGTTGTAGTTGATTATGCTTGTAAAACATGTATTATCAATAATTCATTGTTTAAAATCAGTGTGTTTATTAATGCATTGTTCAAAATTAATCTTATTATTAATGTTTTATGAAACATGTCTTATTACTAATTCATTGTTCAAAATTAAGTGGAATTTTTTTTAGTATATTAAAAATTATCAAGTTTTTTGTTTATAAATTAACTTGATATCATAAACACCAATAACATGGACATGTAAAGTAATATACAATGATCGAAAAATAAAATTTAATATATATATATATATATATATATAATTTAAAATATATCGAATTTAATTTTTTTAATAGAATTATTTGTTTTCAACTCTCAAATTTATACATGATGCTTGTTTTAAATATGTTTATTTTGATTTTTTTTCTTGAATACTTTTTTGAAATAGAAAAAAATAAATGGTAGAATAGACAAAATCATTAATTATAGCAGACAATTATTTTAATTTCTCTTATTGAAGTTCTAACAATCCATAATACTACTAATCTCCAAAAGAAGTAAAAGAAGAAATAGTTATTAACTTTTACTTTGAGTCAAACACATTCAATGTTAAGATGTTGTTCAAAGTGACTCTTGTGCTTAGGTAAATGACAACAACATAAGATCAAGCTCCAGCATTCTCGTGCATTCTTCATCTCTCTTGCACATGAAATCATATTTGAAATAGAATTGATTAAGTCCCTTCACGTCCTCAGCTTTAATACTCATGTTATATCATACACCACAATTTAATAATATCAATGCAACTACAATAGCAAAAAAATAATTCTACTCAAATAAATTCCACTAAAACCATGTCTATCACACTGCATAATGTGAATATGTGATAAAGTGATTTGTTGCCTTCATCAATCATATCACAATAAAATCATAATTACTTGCAACTTACCATTATTTTAGTCTTAAAGTAGTACAATCTTACAAAGTTGAAGATATCTTCTTTCTCAAAACCAATTCTATTGCCTAAGAGGTGCTTCTTGTTATACTTAAATAAGCACCCAATTGCATAGTTTATCAAGACCAAATTGTTTTGCTTATACACATCTTCCAAAGTCAAAGTATCCACAACGTTGGCTCAAATATATACAATGTCTTATTATGTATATTTGACCTCTTTCTTTTTAGTGTGTTTCTATTACTCCCCTTTTTTGCCACATTTTTTTATTTGCCCTTCTCTACAAACTTTGTTCTAGTATTTCTTTAGTTCTTCCTACTTTTGTAGCTCTCTTTTCTCTTCTTTGATTTCCATCACCTTACATTTATTTGTAGAAGTTTTTTTTTAATACAATTGAAGAGTGAAGTATTGTTTTTCATATGGAATATTGATCTCTTTCTTCCCTCACATTATCTTCTTGTTGTCAAAGTAGTGCATATTTGTTCTATGAAAAAAATTAATGGTATTTTTGTTCCTATTGTTATTACCTACTTGCTCATTGAAATTTTCTTTGTTAAATATGTATTCTAAATTCCTCTCGAGTTGATGAACTTCCAAATTCTTGTTAGGTTATACTTTGCTATTTCAAGCAACTTGTAGACAAGCAAGTTAGAGAAACAAAAGTAATCTCTAATATGTACTATAAGCTTGCAAGATATATTTGATATAGCATTCTAATAGGGCCAAGGTTGTTTAGATAAGCTTATGCATGCAAATTTATTGGTAATAACTTCTACTGGCAACTATGGAGATCGATTTTAAAGAGCTTCTAATAATTTTAGTGATTTGAAGAGTATCTTTATTTTTTTTCTTTATTTTTGATAGATAGAAGTTACTATTTTGAACATTCAATTTTTAGTAGCTAGTAGCAATTTGTCAAGGATTGCCATATTATTGGAGATATTTACAATCTTCAAGGTGAAGTTATGTGAATTTTGCATGTTAGAGGAGATAGGCATTCAAACTCTTAATATGCATAAATTTTGAATTCATTCAAGAAATTCTCAATCTAAAAACATCCATAGTCTACAACTCCTCAACTTCAATATACATGTTGCATCATACACCACAGTTTGATAACATCAATACACCTATACTATCAAAAAAATAACTTTTCTCAAACCATATTAATCACATTATATAATGTAAATGCATAATAAAATATTTTGTTTAAGTAGATTTTCATCACCAAGAACTTGTTTATTTTCAACATCTTCAAATTGTATATATATATATATATATATATACATTGCCTCTATTCTCACTCTTTGATTTTTCTTTAGTAATATTAAGTTGTTATAATAGTAGTACTTGATAAAGACGAGCATTCCATGATGAAAACTCCAAAAAAGAAAGAAGAGAAGTATAATGCTCTCTTTTTATATTGTAGTAAGTCAATCCAGGAATAAAGCTTATTCAACCACCTTAGAAATATTTCATAACTTAGATGCGTGAATGTTGATACGACTTTCATTAAAAGGTCTACCATACAAATTGACTTCTAATACTTATTTTGGTTTCTCTACACTCAAATTCAATGCTTCTATAGTAGCCTTTGCTATATTTTTCAAAAGTTTCAAAAGCCAAGTTTCAATAATGAAGGTTGTAAAAGATATCCATTTGAAACATTGTTCCTATAGTTTGAGCACTAGTAAATCAGTTCTTTTTTGTATGTGAGGCCCTTATAAAAAACTTATCAAATCCTAAAGTATAAATTCATACTTTCATCTACTTTGTCCTTCACATTTGAGACCTTTGAAGTGAAGAAGAATTAGGTGTCACCATCTTACTTAATTTCTACATTATCAAATTTTTGATATAGTTTTATGTGATAATTAGGATCACATTTTTAGACAACAATTCTACTTGCATTTGTCATTGATACTTGCTTCTTCTTAGTGTCTTTTATAGCAATAGTTACTCTTATTACTCTTGATAATTATCAATCATTTCTTTTACATCAATTTTTTCAAAATCTCCACTTATAATTACTAGTTTGATAAATAATTCATTAAATAATTTGTGCAATAGATTTGTAGAAGCCTTCAAAAAGAACTCACATAAGTAATCCCATAAAGGATCTAAAAATTTTCTAAAGGTGGCTTATAGCCAATTAAGGCTATGTGCTAATACATCTTATTTATTCATACTACTATATACTATGCTCTCAATATCAGCTAATTTCTTATTCATCTTTAACACTGCTTCTACAACAACTTCATTAGAACAATTCTTAAGCCACTTCATACAAGAATTAAAAAGATATAATCTTGTCAAAGAAACCATGTTGCTCTCAAGCTTCTTTCTATATTTTTTCTATGCAACCACTTCTATTTTGAAATTAGAGATATTTCCAAAGAGCTATGAATCGGATTAAGTTGCCATGACACTACTGTAAAGTAAGGGCATCTTTCCAATAAAAATCTCCAAAACCAATATCTTAATTTGGCACAAAAATGTCTAAATCACATGCATCAACTTGCAAAGGAAAATTGCTACATCCATTGCAATATTACTCCTTTTTCTATTATCTCCAAAATTCCTATCATGTACACATATGTGACTTCAACCACAACTTGCACAATTCTAGAGACAAAGTAAAGACCTATGAGGAGATAAGCTCATCAACTTTTCCAACATCAATAGTACACCAATTCATATAAGACTCTCCAATTAACTTTGAAGAAATACATGTAAGCCAACAATGTTAACAAAAAGAAACAAATTAAAAATCCTAACAATTTAAAACGATCTTGTTGCAAAACAACAAATGTAAATCTCATATGGATCAACAATTGAAACCCTCGTCACTTCTCTCCTCTACTACTCTTAATTAATTTGGCATGTGAAGAAGCTATTCTTGAATCCCTAATAACTTGATTCTTGAAGATATCCAAAGCTTCAACTACTTTGTATCTCTCAAGTTCTTAGAGTTCCCTTCTCAATAACTAATCAAAATGCATTTTATTTTTTTATCTTATACCTGAGTTATTTTATATAATAGATTATATCATCCATAATTATTTATCTTGTTGTCATTAAATATATGATTATCATTCTTTACAATTGCATAGAAGGATTAATTTGTAAGATTAGATTTTATATTATACAAAATTACTAGAAATTATTATGACTATTGGTGTTTATTTTCTATATATAGAAATTAGACTATTATGGTTTTTATTTTATTTTTATTTCTATTGTATAGATGAATGAATAATTTATTTATTTCTATATAAATATATTGAATTTAGGTTATAATAAGTTTTGTGTGTTTGATCTTTTAGAAAGTATATTATTTGAATTTAGTAGTTTGTGGAGATTCTATTAGATGTGGATAGATGTTGAAACAATAGAAAAATTTATGATAAATATTTTAAAACATAAACTCAAATAAGTAATAGGTTTATTCCAAAAGATTGAGGAGTATTAGCAAAAGCAGACCAAACTAGAATAGAGTATTATGAATAACATATTATTATTAAAAAACAAGAAAGTAGATAAATTGAAAAAAAAGAAAAAAAAAGAAAAAAAAAGACTTAAGAGATAAATTATCAAGCTTAAAAATAATTTTTGCTTTGTTTTTGCATATAATAATCTTCTAATACTTTTTAATGTCTTGCCTTTGTAATTAATAAAATTAATGGTCAAACTTCTCTCTATATTTTTGTAAGAAACTTTGTAATAAAACTTTTGAACAAAGCTATAAGCATAAATTATGTATATATATATATATATATATATATATATTGACAAGTAAAGAAAAGAATAAAAATCTTTGAAGAAATTTTTTAAAAATATATATATATTTCTTTTAGATTTTTTTTCTATTATTAATTCTAAACATTCTAAATACATATGAAAAATGTGAAGTTTCAAAAAAGATAAATATCTTTAAAATCCTAATTTTTTATATATTTTAAAGATTTTTGTATTACAAAAGACTTATATAATATAAAATTTTAAGAAATAATAATATAATTTTTAAATTTATTAATTTGAAATGATTTTATAGATGTTTTGTATTATAATATAATTGATTATGAACATCACAAATTTTTTATTGAACATTTCTTTATGTTCAAATATTAACTACTAACATAAATAAAATTCAATAAAAATTTAATTTGGTTATTACATCTATAGTTGTCAATCTCATATCTTGTTAGATATTTAAACCATTCCATGTAATGATGATTTTTAATTTTGAATTTTTTATATCTGCAGACATTAATTTCTTTTTAAATAATTTTAATTGCTACAAAAAATAATAATATTTTATTTATAAAAAGATTAAAAAATGTTATCATAAGTATCCAGACATTAATGTTGAATGTAATTTTGCAAAACCATTTTAGTTATATATATACAAATAGTGAAGCCTCTTTAAATTTATTTTTGAGAAAGATTAGGTGTAAAAAACATATGTTCATAACATGCTCTCATACAACAATAATAGTTTTCATACAAAGATGCTTAAGATTTTGATAAAAATATGATTCATATTTATGTATGTATGCTAATTGAAAATAAAATAATTTTTAAAAAATGGAGAAGAATTAAGTTAAAACCTTAAAGAAAATGATAATTATTAATTGATGCATCAAATATTGTTGTTACTGTATACATACAAAAGCAAGGACTTTATTCTAATTTGATGATGTTCAAGTATAGAGTTTATTTTTCTAATGTTCATGTAATAAACATATAAACTAAATAGAAAAATATTTTTAGTTTATTCTTTGTCAAAGCAAAATATACATATATATACATCAAGAATAACTTTTGAAATGCTTAAATGGTAGAATTTAAACTAATTGAGTAGCTTCTGTTTGTGTTGCACTGTTGAGCAATAGTATTATTCACAAAAGGAAAAAAATATGTAGGCAAAAAATTATTGCAACAAAAGCTATATTGACTAAAAATACATAGACTAGAGGAGCATGTTTCTAAATTGTTATTAAGGCATTAAAATAATTCAGCTCGAAGCAACTCTCACGACTTGACAGTAAATTACCTCTCTTGAATCTGATTGTTGATGGTAGCATGAAGTTAATAGGTACACTGATTGGTAGCTTAACTCTCAAAACGATTCGTCGTAGCAATTTCTATCATTATAATACACATATTTCATCAGGAAGGTGGTAGGTTATCTTGTTCTGTTTGAAAACCCCCTAGAAACAGAGCGTTTTCTTAACTGGAAAAGTTGGTCAAACGGTGACTGATCATGCTCACTCCTTGTGAGGCCCGGGCACTCAACTGCAGGGGTTCCAGAATGTCTGTTGTATTTGTTAATTCCTCGCTAACTGCCCACAGTTTAAAAGATAGTTCTGTGTCTGTAGCTCTAGCACTGGGATTTGCTTTTCGGCTATCCTCGTAGTATCCGCCTGTGAGACCTTCCATTTCGGAAGAATTTGCCAAGTATACTGATGTTGATGCACCTTGCTTGGGAGTCTGCACGAACACCATCAGTGCAACTATGAAAACCAGTAATGGGTTGCGCATTAAACGCTGCCTATCCTCAGTTGCGTGCCTTGCTGGAAACACCATTTTAGAAGTGCACTTGACTGATCCATTTCTAAAGTGATAGATTCTCCAGTGGTTCCCAAAAGAAATACCTTTAAGCCCAACAGTTTAGTCACTACGGGCCTCAAACCCGAAAATGGTAGACTCCTATCCAATGCTTGAGGAAACACGTATCGAATCAACTGCAACAGACATATCAAGCTTAAGAATCGAATCTGAAAGTTCATAAAAGGCGGCGATACACATTCAAAGCCCAACATTGCGTTTTAGATTATAAAATCAAGCCTTATAGTATCAACAAAATCTCGCTCCGGATAAGGACTAACCTCAGTGTCCACTATGCCAGGGTGCATACTGTTTGACGTAACAGGAATTCCCAAAGATGTGCAGCGTCGTGAAAGCTCGAGGGAGAAAAGGCAATTCGCTAATTTCGATTGCCCATAAGCTAGCCAATTATTGTAACCTGCACATATTCCAACACCAAAACCGAAATGAGTTCAAGTTTTGAAACAAATCTACTTTACTGTGATATACTTTACTGTTAATGTTAGCCCTGTAGAGATTTGACAGCCGTGCCTCGTACGTGAACTGCATTCAACAGGGCCACCGTATAGCAACGCTTCCTAATTTTCTATGAGTACAGTCCAAGCACGGATTTGTAATTCTTGAAGTCTCGAGGTAAAAAAATGAATCCGGAAGATTGGAAGTCGTAGTACTCCGAGATTTATAGTTGAGATCGTTGAAGTCAATGTTCCCAATTCGCTCAGCTGCTGAAGCCAGGACCACCACTCTTGACTTCATTCTGCAACACCATTGTCGGTTGGATCAAAAAACCGACTTACACAATGTTCCAAACCAGCGACTCCAGTTAGTCACAGCTTGAAGTGACATGATTCCAGGAGACTCTACAAAATCGATTGTGATCACTCTAAACTTGAAATAACTAAAAGACACTCTCCTCGTCTGATGAAGACTCGTCACTTACCCTGGTGAGGCACATGATTTGAGTTTTCCGAGCAATAAGGAAGTAAGGAGGAAATGGCCCAAGTGATTCACCTGCACCAAGATAAATTCATCAAACCTTCGATATATAGAAGCTCAAACCAACTCAAAGATTAGCCATAAAAATTGCATCTAAGACTTGTTTCTTACACGTAGATAGGGCGCTACCATTTAGAGCCTAAACTCGAATGCAGATTTCATCGCTTAATGTCGCAGTTGCAGAATAGATCAATCAAGCTTTGTTCAATTCCATCAATTCACAGGCTGTTCAGAGTAGAGACTCTAACCCCGAGTTGGTACTCAAAGCCATCCACAGTGTACTGTTGAGGACATGCCATTACACCTGCATTATTCACCTGTCCAAATCATAGCTAAGATTCAACCATTGTTGTATAACTATAAACTAAATCATCTACATAATACTCTTTTTGGGAAGAAAACCTCGGACAGGATTCACGATGCGATGTAGGTACTGATTACAGTGCATTAGAGCGAATTTGAAGTTATTTGAAATAATTACACAGAACTTCCAAGTTCAGAAAATTGGCAAAAAGACTTAAAGATCAATACTTACAAGGGAGTTTAATGGGAGACCAAGGTGCAAATACCCTGCTGCAAACTGTCGGATCGACGCAAAAGAAGCCAAGTCTAATTCCATAACCCTGTCCAATTCCAGCAAGTTTTCAATATGATGGTACAGTGAACTCCACTGACAGTTAAATGCTGTTCATTTTGAGCGAACGCACGAAAAATTCCGAATGCAAGTGAAGCACCTAAGACCTGACAGAGGGGTTACTAGATTCTCGAATAATATCTGCCACAGCTTGCTTTCCTTTCTCTACGTTTCTGCACGCTGCCTTGAGCCAACCATAAATATGTCAAGAATACGAGTGAAGGTCGCACCTTGAGGGATACTGAATGATTGAATTGGATTGCAAGATGAGCAAAACATCAGATAGGAAAGAAATAGCATCAATGCGTGCGGTGATTCTCACCAATGGTGACAGCCATGCCCTGCCTTGCGAGCTCCGTGGCGGTAGCTTTTCCTATACCTGGAAAAGCAAGTGATCAAGGAAACCACCAATTTACAGCTACAAAATCGAGTACCTCTCGCGTTTCTACTACTGTTCTGCAATATACGAATCAGACCTAGTTCGTAAGCCCCTGTGCAGCCACACAAAACAAGATTCCAAGGGCTTCATACACGTACCAGTGTTTCCACCGGTGATGATTACATGTCGCTGGCTAGAAGATGACGAAGATTGCATCGCCCTACACAGCCCTTTGCGACAATTTTTCTGTCCGCACAGCAATACACGACAATTGGGCATTAGAATACAAACAGAAAAATGTAGCTGCAAGTTCATGTACCAGAGCTACCCATCAATTGAGCTGCGCCAAGAGTATCCTCAGGACGTGGCGTCCATTGAAACAGCAAGCCCAATCGCAACTACATTGACTTCATGATCTGCAAGGGCTGAAGATAAGCAAGCAATTTGGCTGGCACCCGAAGGAGCGCTTACCTATTCTCTATGATTTCGATCAACATCTACTCGTGCCAAAATCAACAATGCACAATGCACAATTTCCTCTGTGAGAATGGGTCGTAATAATGACCAACCCAAACCAAAACCCACTACCATACCTTAGCTACTTTTCTTGCCAACATCGACTGAAATTTAAATTCATCAAGCCTCGTCGCAGAATTGGGGATGCGCCACGAAGGTCTTGGCAACAAAGAACCAATACAAGTTGCAGCAATCGCCATCGAGAAACAATCACGTGAGGCTGAAAATGACAGCCAACTAGAAGCAGAAATCTGATCACCTCTAGTAGTTCACAACCTCAAATCCTCAGTGCCAAGTCACGAAACCATCCCCACTTGAAAAGTACCAGCGTTTTCGAATCTCACTGCAAATTCCTGACAACTACTAGCATCGAACCGATCTCGAATACTCTAAATGACCCATTTGAAAACGCCAACGCAATCAACAAATGGACGAACTAAGAACTTGAGGCTGGCATTCAACCACGCCTTTCTCGCCCCCCGATAGCTGAATTGCGGTGGTCGGGCCCACCGACAGTGTGCGCTACAATCCTTCGGCTCTGAAGCCACGAAACGTGCCGCCATTCTGAAAAATCTTAATGATATTGAGTCCCGATTTATTATTGCTTTGATTTTGTGAGCTAAATTTTTCTCGAAAATTATATTTTTCCATGCCAAAATCCATTCTCGAAATGCCACCCGTGAGGCACCGATACACGTAGTCAATCTTATTCTCAGTTTTCAGTAAGTTTGATCCAGGTGCTCCTTTACAATTGCTGGAGTGCAAAACTCGATCGTCATGTCATGTGTCGATTCTTTGGAAACTCGACGTCGGTGGTGACTGCAGTCAAGTGGTCGGAGCACGAAGCTGAGCTCTGAGCGCTGTACGTATGATTCTAAGAAAAGACAATTGCAGTGAGTGGAACAGGAAGAAAGAAAGTTCTGTTCTTCAACATGGGCTTCTTCATTTTACTGCAATAGGTGGACGATTAAGTATTTCTCTCTCATGTATTCTACACCATCTCTAACACTGTGAACATAGAGTTTGCAGAAAGCACACAAGTGAATTGAGGATTTGAGAGTGGGTATCGCTAATGCTATAATATTTCTTGTTATTGTTACCACAATCTACCATTTATCATATTAGTTTAGTGTAAGGTAATTGGGGAAATGTCATAATGTTTTATCACAATGGTATAATTTGCAATTAAGTTTGCCTTTTTTGCAAGTAGGTGATTAAAGTGTTATTGTTTGCAAAGGTGTTAGTAGTGTCAAGCTCCATGAGAAAGAAACATTCACACAAAGTTGTGAAGAGAGTGGTGGATGCATCACATATGAGGACAAGAATGTACAAGAGGAGCATTTGATAGAAGTGCACAAGATTGTGAGGGACTTTGCATTGAGTGGATGGTAGGTTGTGGTGGCAATAGCAAAAATTGTGGTAGCATTAGCAATACCATTGAGAAAAAAAGACTTTGAACCATTTTTGTTATTATTATTACTATTATTTATTTGTCCTTTGAACAACACTTCAAGAGCATAGAAATTTTATTTTGACACATATTTTTGTTATTGAGTTTTTAAAGTGACAAATACATTCTAAGTTGGAAGTTTAGGTATTTCACTATAAAACTTGTTAATTTCTTGACAAATTCTTTTAATTCAACATGCTCCTAGTCATATAAAGAATGCTATTATAAGTATAATATTTATTTTTATTAATTATTAAAAATATGATTTATACTAAAGTCTTTTAATAAGTGTTTTGAAAATTTTAGATATAGTTTTACCTAAAATATGTATATATGTACATATATATATATATATATATATATATATATGTACATATATATATATATATATATATATATTTGTTTATTTATATTTATTGACAATGATATTTGACATAATATTTTGCATTTGAATATTTGCAATTTAAAAGTAAATGCTATTTGGTAGTAAGTGATATGGATAATATAATAAACACAATTCTTAAAGTAAACAATGGCCTTTTGTTCTATGATTACTTATAATTTGTTATAATAACTTTAAGAAGATATTAAAAAGTAAAGATATATTCTTAAAAATATGTATCTTACTAATAAAAAAAATCACATTAATTAAGTTACATTTTCTTTTGTAAAAAATCACCAAATTAGGACATCATTTAGATATGTATGTCTTAGTATCCCTTCTAATATTGTTTAATGTAATTTAGTTCCTTTACAATTCTCTTGTAGATTAAAAAATTAATCTCTTAAGATTTATTTGTTGTTGTACTTAATCAATAGCAAGTCTTGCATTTCTAACCAATTATATCCAGCCATTTTTGGAAATAATCTTAATTTAGTATATTTTAAATGAAGAATTTTTTAATAAATACAAGAATTAGTTGGGTGTGTTTTGCTTTTGATTAATTGTTGTTTGATTAGTAGTTTTTTTAATAGAAGAATTAAAGTTGCACGTTGTGATTCTTACTCAAAATTTAGTATTGTGAGTTCTTTTACTCAACTTCTTAATTCTCTTGCATGAATTTTGATGCTAGAGATTACTAAGCGAGCCAATAGTAATGTTTTATAAATGTATCATCAGACCAATAAATGTTAAAGATTTTTTACTTATATCAAATTTGAATCCCCAAATGCATTAAAGGTTTTTACAAAAAACATCTTTCTTTGTTATTTTTGTTTTTATTTTTATTTTTATTTTAATTAAATCGTTTTTAGGTCTATTTAGAATTAAATCACTTAGAAAAGTATTTAGAGTATGACATTATATTTAAAATAAATGATAATGTTACAAAATAAAAGAAAAAAAAATGCGAGATTATTTTTATGTTGTGTAAAATTTTAGATGTTTTATGAACAAGAATGAAGTTAAAAAATATTTGCCATAGCCCAAAAAGTATACAATGAATATAAATATTGTAGAAAAGTATTTTATTTTATACCAGGTTTATACTCCAATATAAAGCTTTTCTGCCACAACTTTTTTATAATAAAATTTTATGAGTCTATTTTAAATTTAGTTTAAAATAATTTAAATTTATAATTTATAATTTAAAATTATATTTTTGATGATAATTGGAGTATATCAAACACATTGCTTTAATTTACACTGGAAATTTTGATTTTTTGATTTTTATTGAACAGGAATTTAATATCAGTTTTTAAATTTTGATTTCCTAGAAGTCATTAATCTATTCTTGAACCCCACATATTCATTAACTATCAGCAATGTGTTTATTTATAATATCAGCAATGTGTTTTAAATATTTATTTATAATTTTATCATTTTTTTTTCAAGATATAACAATTTAAACTTTAAAAAAATCAATCTCTATATCAAACACACATCTAATGATTTATTGAATATTATTAATTGAACTAATTCGTCTAAAGATAAATATCAAAACTGATAGGACATTTGTTGTATCTAGCAATACTTGTTTTATATACATAATTTGAAACTTAAATGAAACAACTTAACCCTAATTCGGGTGATGAAAAATTTGAACAGCTCTGGGCAATTAAACCGCATACAAGGGATACTTTGGTTAATCAACAAAGACATAAAGTTTTAGCATAACTTTTCCTTTTTCTCAGATTTAAAAAAACTATGAGTTTGGATGAGAAGCGGATGAATGTAAGTATCCGCATTGAGATGACATTCGTTGTCTTAGGAGTCGGCAACGAACTTTGCTTTGCAGAAGGTGTGAATCGAGGGTTTTTGGAGGGAAAGGCAGAGGGTCGCCACAGCCGCTGGATGCGAGTCCATCATCTAAGGCCCCAGTTGCTTCCCGATTGAAGCACCAGGCTCTGGCCTCACTGGAAGGGGAAGAAGGGGCCTCATCGCAACCTGAATGCGGGGCTTACGTGCGATAGGATTCCAAGCCCCGCTGGTCCGTTGCGCTCGAGGGCACAAATTGTTGGGCCCATTTCGGTTTGGTGGTTGTACTGATAGATTGAGCTTTTAACTGACGATCGAAACAAAGGAGAGCTTGCAAATATTGCGGGTTTTTTCTGGGTTCCTTTGATGTTTTTGTTTTAGGGTTTTTGCATTTGCGCAAGGCTTTCACAATGTCTCACGTGAAGATGACACTGGAGGAGCTGGAGAAGTACCGAGAGCGGTGGCAGAGTTGGAACAGCAAGGATTTCGACCCTAACCTCGTGGTTGAGATATACAAGAATGAGCTCAATGTGGCGACGTCTTCGCAGAGGGTTAGGGTTTTAGAGATTAGCCAGTATTTGGAGAATTATTTGTGGCCGCGGTTTAATGCGGAGACTGCGTCGCTGGAGCATGTCCTTTCGATCATTTTGATGGTGAATGAGAAGTTTAGAGAAAATGTTCCGGCCTGGGCTTGTTTTCATGAGCGTGAGGATGTATTTCCTGCATTTTTCAATCGGGTCCTGTCTTTGAAGGATGACAAGGAGGCACGGGCGATGAGCATACGAGAGAAAACAAATTACCTCCTATTTATGATTCACTGTTTTCAGAGTTTGGAGGATGAGAAGGTCCGTATTCCGGTTTTGAAATTGGTTTCGTTGCCTCTTTGGCATAGCCTGTCTCCTGGGCGTGTCAGGATGGAGTTTTGTCAGCATCCTCAGCTGCTGGATCACTGGAGAAAACTGCTTAAGCGAGAGGCACGAGAGGGAAAACGTGGAGGTGCTATTAATGTCAAGGAGAAGCTAGAAGTGAGATTTCTACCGAACTTGCTGGAAGAGTTTTTGGACATACTACAATCTTCTGTGCGGTCTGAAACAGATGAAGACCATGATATGGAGGGTGAGGGGGAAAGTACTCCTGCCGTGGACTTTGATTCTCAGTTGTTCTGTGAACGTTTTGCAGAGTTTCTCATCGACCTACTGAGTCAACTTCCAACCAGGAGATTTGTTAGGGCTTTAGTGGAGGATAGAGCGATTGTTGTAAAGAGCAGATTGAGTGCCCTGTATGCGCATCCACGTGGGGCCTTGTTCCGGCAGCTTATCGATCTTCTTGAATTTTACCAAACCTATGAAATCAACGATCAAACAGGAACGCAGTTTAGCCCAGAGGATGTGGAGCTTAATCATAGCTCCCGCGTGCATGCTCTGCAGCTTCGTTTATTCAAGTCGGTTCCAAAACTTCAGTCCTTGGCACTTTCCAATGTTGGTTTCGTAGATAAGAGGAATCAGCTTAGCAAGGCGATATCTTTGCTGAGTGCCGAGGAGCTCAAGGATCTGGTTTGCAGAAATTTACAGCTAGTGTCGTCCGAAGACCCATGGACTGACAGGGTTGATTTTTTGAAAGAGCTTCTCGTGACGTCGTTCGAAAGGCGGCAATCCCAGAGAGAATCAATTAATGCATTGCCCCTGTACCCAAATGAGAAAGTGATGTGGGATGAAAATCTAGTCCCAAGCATCAATTATACAGGCGCAGGGCCCCTTGCATTACCAAAGTTAAACTTACAGTTCCTTACTCTTCATGATTATCTGCTTCGTAATTTCAATCTTTTTAGATTGGAATCCACTTATGAAATCCGAGAGGACATACATGACGTTTTGAAGCGGATGGGTGCACGGTACGGTGATGATGGTGAAACGGTTTTCTCCGGCTGGGCCAAAATGGCAAACCCAATCAAAAGTTTCAAGATTACGGAAGTAAAGGCTGCTAAAATAGGTGAAAACAAACCAGCGGCAGTAATCGCAGAAGTTGGCTTCACCACCAAAGGATTGAGAGGAGACAATCGGTCAGAATGGGACGCTTTGAAGGAGCATGATGTCTTGTTCTTACTTACTGTCAGAGTTCCATCATCCATTTTAGGCAAAGAGGAGTTGGCCAAATTAAGTATCCCTGAACAGTTTGGTCTTCAGTTTGTGCGGGGTTGTGAGGTTATTGAATTGCATGATGAAGAAGGGACACTCATGAACGATTTTACTGGAAGGATAAAGCGTGAGGATTGGAAACCACCTGCTGGTGAAGCAAGGACTGTTGTTGTAAGCCTTGATAATGTGCAGTATCAACTGGATATGAATGCAGCTGCAAGTGGAGATCTGGATACGAATGTTTACGAGACGTTCAATCTTTTGATGCGGAGAAAGCCAAAAGAGAACAACTTCAAGGCTATATTAGAGTCCATTCGAGATCTGATGAATGAGGACTTGATTGTGCCAACGTGGTTGCACGATATTCTTCTTGGGTATGGTAACCCTGCTTCCGCTCAGTGGAAAAACATGCCTGATCCTCTCGAGCTGGTAGATTTTAAGGACACGTTTTTGGATGCTCAACATCTTAGAGAGAGCTTTCCTTCGTGTGACGTGCAATTTGTGACCCAAGATGGTGATGAAGATCTCACACCCAAACCACCGTTTCATGTGATATTGCCCAAGAGTACAAGTGGAGGTAACAAAGTTAAGTCGGGTAAGAGAAAAGGAGCAGATGTAAGTGCAGATGGTGCAGCAGATCCCACTTCCGAAAGGCAGAAAGTTGTGGCGAAGGCCTATGTGCCTCCAGATCCTGGCCCTTACCCACAAGACCAACCGAAGCAGAATACTGTGAAGTTTACACCTGTACAGGTAGACGCTGTTATTTCAGGAGTGCAGCCTGGCTTGACCATGATTGTTGGTCCACCAGGAACTGGGAAGACAGACACAGCCGTGCAGATTCTGCATCTGCTGTATCATAACTGTCCAATGCAGCGAACATTGATCATTACTCACTCCAATCAGGCTCTAAATGACCTCTTTGAGAAGATCATGCAAAGGGATGTTCCAGCTAGGTACTTGTTGCGTCTTGGTCAGGGAGAGCAAGAATTGGACACGGATCATTCCTTTAGTCGTCAAGGACGTGTGAATGCCATGTTGAAACGGAGATTGGATTTGCTGTCTGAGGTGGAGAGATTGGCAAAGACATTGAAGGTGCCAGAAGATGCTGCATATACTTGTGAGACAGCAGCATATTTTTGGCTTCTGCATGTTTTGTCGCGATGGGAAGAGTTTATGGCAGGATGTGCAGAATCACGTGATCCGGGCGTTGTCAAGGAGAGGTTTCCATTTAAGGAATACTTCAATGATACCCCGCGGCCCCTTTTCTCGGGGACATCCTATGTTCGGGACATGGAGGCAGCCAAAGGATGCTTCCGGCACCTAAAAACTATGTTCCAAGAACTTGAAGAATGTCGTGCATTTGAGTTATTGAAATCAACGGCTGATCGTGCCAACTATTTGATGGCAAAGCAGGCCAAGATTGTCGCCATGACATGCACCCATGCTGCTCTGAAAAGACGTGATTTCCTGGATCTAAATTTCAAGTACGATAATCTGTTGATGGAGGAAAGTGCTCAGATTTTAGAGATTGAGACATTTATTCCCATGCTGCTGCAGCGACACACGGATGGCCGTGCCCGATTGAAGCGCTGCATCCTTATTGGTGACCATCACCAGCTTCCTCCAGTGGTGAAGAACCTGGCTTTTCAGAAGTACAGTCATATGGATCAAAGTCTATTTACTCGATTTGTGAGGTTAGGGGTCCCGTACATCCAATTGAACTCTCAGGGCAGAGCACGGCCCAGCATCGCAAAACTTTACAACTGGCGATACAAGGAACTTGGAGATCTTCCCAACGTTCTGCAAGATCCTGCATACCATTTGGCCAATGCTGGTTTCAGCTATGAGTATCAGCTTGTTAATGTGGAGGATTACGAAGGATTTGGAGAAACTGAGCCTGTTCAATACTTCTATCAGAACCTGGGTGAGGCTGAGTACGTGGTGAGTGTGTTCATGTACATGCGGTTGCTTGGCTACCCAGCAGAGAAAATCTCTATCCTGACTACATACAATGGTCAGAAGCAACTCATTCGTGACGTTATTGCTAGGAAGTGTAGCAACAACCCTCTATTTGGTCGGCCTAGCAAGGTGACAACTGTTGACAAATTTCAGGGTCAGCAGAATGACTTCATCTTGCTATCTCTAGTGCGCACGAAAGTTGTAGGTCATCTTAGGGATGTGAGAAGATTAGTTGTGGCCATGTCACGTGCCCGTCTTGGACTGTATGTGTTTTGCCGGCGTTCTCTGTTTGAGAATTGTTATGAGCTTCTGCCGACGTTCCGTTTGCTCCTTCAAAGACCAGTTGATCTGTCCTTGGTTTTGGACGAGCCAACTCAACCAACTCAGCGACCTGTCCATCAAATAGGAGGGGCTTATCCTGTGAGAGGCTTACAGGAGATGGTCCACATTGTTCAAGATGTGTACCACCGGAAGACAGCGGTTATGGGTGCGTACCCTATTGGTTAGTAAGACCCAGGTTTTTTAGAAGGCTAGGGTAGGATACTGTATTCAAAGACCTTGTAGTTCATCGTGTAAATCATTTTCTTGATTACATCAACTCTTTTGGTATACTCCTCGGATCTTTGTATCATGGTCAAAGTCGGTCTAGAACTGTTCGTATTTTTGTCCTGCTGTCTTAGAAATGCTTCTTTTCCAGTCTCAGCTTAGTAGAGGATCGCTTTTTCAGGCAATTGGATGTGCACCATTTTACACCAGCAACAATTCCTGTTATTCGTCCGTAGTCCATTGCTATCTGCACTAATGCCTTCTACCTCGGCCAGCAAGCCACCCTCATTTCCGTTGGAACCCGAGACTCTGGATCTTGTGAAATACGAGCCACACCAAGGTTGACGACGAGACACCATATCGATGAGCTGCGCAGACTCCTCCAATCGTGACAGGGTCATGTGACAAGTGGCCAGTAGTGAAAACAAATATATTTCGACGAAAGCACACCGAATCAGCTGGTGACACCGCAATCTTTTCATAGTACTTTGTCTAACTCATGGCACCCACAAGCCATCCCCTGCTGGCGTGACATTTTCAGAAAGAAGCCTGTGCCAACATTCTCACTCCGGAAGGCGCATTGGAGATACTATTTCGTACTGTCACAAAAATTGACGTATTCTAACTATTTCTATACTAATTTATGTATGTATATACATTTATATATGTGTGTTCGTGTGTGTGAAATACAATCATCTGAAACATATCAACCTGGTAAAAATAGACAGAAGTTACTGTTAGTCTGACTGAGTAGAATTAATTTTATAATGTGGGGCTTGCCTTCATGGATGAGATTTGTATTTCATAACCTTGCCTTAGATTTATACAGCTTCTTGTCTTTCTTTGTTGGAAACCAGGCTAGTATTTTACAACATTGATATGACATTATATCCTTCATTTTGCAATAGTAAAAATGATAATAATTCAATGTAATAACCGTGTTCATGGTATTCTAAACCTGCATCACGTACATTAACTCATCCAAAAAATAATTTAAAACTTAAAAAGATGATGGATTTCAAACAAGCTGTTATTCACCGTGACTTTATAAATAGTCACAAAAATGCAACATTGAACATTCTAAATTCTGAAATCGTAAGCTTTTAAAAAAAGAAACGCGTTGTAACAGAATTTGGATAAGTCCCTTTTCTTTTTAATTTTCTCATAAGAACAACAGACTCTCAAACCAATAGCTATGCACAAATTGTATAGAAACGGATTTACCGACGTGATTTGCTCAAGCAGAAGGGCAGCGACAACACCAAATTTAGATAAACACAAGTTTTCACAGCTTTGAAGAAGGCCCCACAATTCAGGGGAAAGAAGACGGCGAAAGGAAGAAGTAATGCAAAGGCAAAAAGGCTTGGCTCCTGAGGGCCTCCGCCCCCAGCCGAACACGTGGGGTGAGGTAAAGGACCGGATGGATGGTGTGGCATGCGGATGTGGCAGGACAAGAAGCAGAAGAGATGAGTGGCGTAACTGAGAGAGAAGACAGCAGCAGGAGCCAATCAAAGCACCAGCCACTCAGCCAGGCAGGTAGATAGGTAGGTCGGTAAGAAGAGGGGGGTTCCGACTGGATTAGCGAGGACGCCAGGGGCAGAGCAGTTCCTTGTGTGCATTTTGGTTCCACTAAGTCGGTCGGTCGGTCGGTTGGTCGAGCATTGAGGGTGGCACCCTGCTACCCACCCACCCCAACAGTGCCCGCTCTGCCCGTCCTCTGGCTGGGTTGCTCTAGTTGCCTTTTTTTTCTCAGTTGCTGCTGTCCCAGGTTTCTGGTTTCTGTTTCTGCGATCTGTGTTGGGTCTGTCCACTCGCACTCCTACTGCGATTCTGACTGCACTGCGCTGCAGTTGTTCTGCCCCGCCCTGGTTGTTGCGCTCTTCTCGATTTCCTTCTCAACATCGTTGTTGCGCACAACGTAGCTCCGCATCTCTCATTGCGCCTGCGTGACGTGTTTATTTACTTATTATTGTTTATTATTTGTTTATCTCGAGTAACGGAGCGGGGAGCGTTGGCGGCCCCGCTAGTGGTGGTGTACATGCGACAATAGGGAAGTAGAAAGTGGGGATGGAGTGGCGGAAGTGAGCTTTGGTCGGACTTTTCCTTGGTCTCTTTTTCGGGAATAGTGTTGATGTTGCAAGGGGCGATGAGTTCGAGGGTGTTGGGATTGAATAGGTGAAGGAAAGTGGCGGAGGGATCTAGGCGCAATTTTGTGAAGAGGGAGAGTAGGATGAGCAATGAGGGTTGATTGAAGGGGGAGATTGCAGGGCGAAGTGAAGAAAAGGGAGAAAGGGTGGGCGAGAGAGAGAGAGCGAGAGAGAGAGAGATGGGGGCGTTTTTTGTGGTGTTGGTGCCAGTGGTGGTGACGACGTATTTGCTGGGAGAAAGGAAGAAGAAGAGGATTAAGCAGCAGGCAGTGACGGTTGAGAATGTGGGTGGAGAGAAGGGATTGACTAAGCGGAATGCGCGGTTCGATAAGTTGGTGGAGACGCCCAGGGAGGGAGCTGACACTTTGGCCAGCCTGTTTGAGCAGTCTTGCGCGCAGCATTCGGGAAATCGGTTTCTGGGGACTCGGGTACTGTTGAAACGTGAGACGGAAGTATCCGAAGACGGCCGAAAGTTTGAGAAGGTGACGTTGGGGCAATATGAGTGGACCACTTACGCCCAGGCGTTTCTCCGAGCCAGTGACTTTGCATCTGGGCTCGTCGCGCTCGGTCATGGACAAGGTGAACGTGTGGCAATCTTCTCCGAAACTCGACCGGAGTGGTTACTTGCCCTTCAGGTATTGTTCCGATCCAAGAGCTGCGATTTAATGTATATGATCTGATACTTAAGGATTGTATGTTCCATCGAGAGATATGATCCTGCGCTAATCAATCATCTATGAGGAGTTCCTCGGATAAATATTCGAGGAGGCTTATCCGCATTCAAATGCATTGGTTTTTTTGTATCAAGAGTTCTCCGTGGCTGTGTGTGCAGGCGTGTTTCCGCCGGAACCTTACAGTGGTTACCATATATGCGTCTCTTGGAGAGGATGCTCTCGTCCATTCATTGTCCGAGGTAATGGGTTTTATTTAATTTCGACAATCATGGATATGCTTTAGAATCTTCGTTGAAGACGATATTCTGTGTTCGAAGGACCTGCAATCTGAGGATGCCTTTCTTCATATCTTCTCATTGGAACAAAAATCTTGGTGTTCTTCATTTTTGACTTTTTTGATTTTTTTGATTTTTGATTTTTGATTTTTTTTATTCCAGACGGAAGTTTCTACAGTAATCTGTGATTCTAAGCAGCTCAAAAAGATCGTGGATCTTAGTGACAAACTCGGAACTGTGAAACGGGTGATTTATATGGAAGATGATGACACGGTTACTTCTGAGCCATCAATGGAGGGAAAGGTCATAGCCCGGTTTTCACATGTGGAAAAGCTTGGCAAACAATCACCTGCTCAGCCTGATATGCCCCGCCCTTCGGATATCGCTGTCATCATGTATACCAGTGGGAGCACTGGTATGCCCAAGGTAATAGGAGCGTGGTCTTGAGGAGTATTTTATTTTTATTCTTGTTTTTTTTTTCTTCACGATAGACATTGGTTAAATGCAATGCCTTCAGAATTGTCCTCAATACAAAACTTTTCAATAGAGTATGCGTAACTTTCGTATGAATTGACAGTTTCCTAGGTTATCAACTGTGAAGCGACTGATTGGATAATTCCTGATTCTTTAATTCTAATTTTAAATTGTTTATTTATTTATTTATTTTCTCCACTTAACTGTGTTGCAGTAGAATCTGTGTGTTTTTCCAGAAAATGAGTCAGCTGTGACCTAACTCACCTCTTCTTCGCTGATATCCAGGGTGTGATGATGTCGCATAAAAACATAGTGGCCACTATTGCTGGAGTAACTGCTTCAGTACCAAAACTGAATACAAGCGACGTGTACCTTGCCTACTTGCCTCTCGCACATATTTTGGAACTTGCAGGGGAGGTAGTGGACATTCTTTAGCTTTACTATGCGTTATTGAATGCTGACCTTTACCTCGAGTGATTCTTTGAATCTATGAATGAACGGATTGTTAGGGAAGCTCTTCTGGTTGAGTTGCAGAGAAACTTGTTGCCATAATATCGCCGAAATCGCGGTCGCAGTAAATCTCGTTTCTCAAGTTTGTTTTATTCATCTAAAATAATTTTTGATAATTTTTTAAAATAATGAATACATAGTCCAGCCACTAGAAGTTATTACTCAGCCGGTTATAGTAACCGTTTGCAATCTGTTCATAAACAAGGGTGCTCTTTTCAACCAATCTCATACAATTTCTGAACTTGGCTTGGTTGATGCGCAGTCGACACTTTTTGCAGCAGGAGCTGCTATTGGATATGGTTCTCCATTGACCTTGACAGATACCTCAAGCAAGATAAAATTTGGTACCAAGGGAGACGCAACTGAACTTCAGCCTACACTCATGTCGGCAGTTCCAGCAATTTTGGATCGTGTTCGAGATGGTGTGAGGAAAAAGGTCTGCTATTTGGCTTGATCAACCGAATATCATTGGAGCTGTTTTGTTTTTCTAATTCATGATTGCGAACCCTGATTGATATCCAAGTTCAACTGGGCATTCTACAATGAGTCTACGCTTTGTAATAGTTTTCACCGGTTTTCTATAAGAAATCGTTGCGGTACAATGATGAGTTATTTTTATTATCTGAAATGAAACTCAATCATTATCTTCAACTTTAGAAGTTCCTTAGTTATTTGCTTATTGTGGTCCTTTATTCCATTTCATCGGATTATGATATCTGAATACTTCGAGATATCTCATAATGAGCAGGTGAACACTAAGGGAGGGATCACGAAGAAGCTTTTTGAATTGGCCTACTACCGAAGGCTTGCTGCCATCGAAGGGAGTTGGTTTGGTGCATGGGGTCTGGAGGCAATGCTCTGGAATGTTCTAGTGTTTAGAAAGATTCGATCTGCTCTTGGAGGGCGGGTCAGGGGAATGCTCTCTGGGGGTGCACCACTTTCAGGAGACACTCAACGATTCATGAATATCTGCTTTGGGTACAACTTTTTTGCTTACCTTAAAATCTACACATCCGTTTCCTATAATTTTTCAGAGTTCTTACAAATAAAAAAACATTTGTGTCGGCACCTCAGCTACCCTTAATTGCATTCGAAGTGGTAAAATTGTCAATTGAGTTTTAAAAGATATTTCTGTCTAATCATCTTAAACATAACGCCAATCTGCTGGTCTGTAAAGTTGTGGCGTTAACACACAAACTCGAGCAAGGCGCTACATTATAATTTTCATGGCGACAGGCAGTTTTAGTAGGACTTCTTCACGGTTTTCAAGCAAAACGTAGATGTGGAATTAACCTTTTATTTATTTATTTTTATCATAATGTCTAATCCCAAGGCTGACGAACTCTTATTGCAGGTGTCCTATTGGCCAGGGCTATGGTCTCACCGAAACTTGTGCAGGTGGAACATTCAGTAATTGGGAGGATATGACTGTTGGCCGAGTAGGCCCTCCTGTTGCAGTGTGCTACTTAAAGGTGTCAACCTCTAGTCACTACATTAAGCACATCATACATTGTGGGCCACAGTATTCACTGGTGGCCATAATAATTCATGTTAACTGTGGCTCATTTGACCACCTATGACCAACTTAAAGTAGCTCACTACAACCTTGGATGAGATTGTTGCAGCCTCAATATCCATCCATCTACAGTATAAGGTGTTTTTCCGGTGTAGGGTTAGCATTTGACATACATGAAGTATTGCATGATTTTCTTATTTCTTCCCCTTAAGATTCAGAATTTCACTTATTTGTTATTTACAAATCCTAAATTGGTTTGGCTGCAGTTGGTTAACTGGGATGAGGGTGGTTACAAGTACACAGACGCTCCAATGCCAAGAGGTGAAATTGTGATTGGTGGGCCTAATGTGACTATGGGATACTTCAAAAATCAAGCTAAAACTGACGAGGTTTACAAGGTATGGCTGGTTTACACGCAGTGTTCGCGTCATAAAGGTTTTCGTGCATTACATTTTTTTTAGAGAATTGAAACCCATCTTTTTCGAGTCTCAATTAGTCATTTTGGCAGCTGCACTTAACTGTATGCAATGCATGTGACCCTCGGAGGTTTGTTCAAAAATCAAGGAATGTCTTAGTATATTGGTCTGAGATGTCGCATGTTGAGATGCATTAATATTTTGTTTACAAATACTGACCACTTTCGATCTAATGTTTGTAATGAAGGTGGATGAGAAGGGGATGAGGTGGTTTTATACGGGAGACATTGGCCGCTTTCATGAAGACGGATGTATAGAAATTATTGATCGTAAGAAGGATATTGTGAAATTGCAACATGGAGAATATATATCACTGGGAAAGGTGCTGCTGTAATCTATACCTCACGTTACTGTCCTCATGCTGTCAAGTTTTTTTGTTTCACTGTGGAGTATGCTTCTTATGACAACCTGGTGTTGGAACAGGTGGAGGCTGTGCTTTCAGCAAGTCTTTATGTGGAGAACATCATGCTACACGCAGATCCTTTTCACAGCTATTGCGTAGCTCTTGTCGTCGTATCTCAATCGGCACTAGAAGGCTGGGCTCAGGACGCTAATGTGGATTACAGTGATTTTGCTGATTTATGTTCAAAGACACAGGCTATCAAAGAGGTTTTATCCTCCCTCACAAAGGTAAGCTGATGTTTTCGTTGCTTTTAGAGATTCTTATTACCAAAGCAATGTCGGTGTTTGCAGAGCGCACCTAAATGTGGTCTTCCTTGAGCTCTTGGATACCAGTCTTATGATCTATTTATACCGTTCTAATCTTTAAAATATTCCGCATGTAATTATTGCAGATTGGCAAAGAGAATCGTTTGGAGAAGTTTGAGATTCCAATGAAGATTAAGCTGATGTCTGAGCTCTGGACCCCCGAGAGTGGTCTGGTGACTGCTGCTTTAAAGCTGAAAAGAGAGAACATTAGAAAAACTTTTGCCGAGGATTTAAAATCTTTATATCAGTAAGTGTCAGGACAATGATATCATGGAACAATTTTAGTGAAGCTTTTTTTTCTGATGGGAACTGCATGAAGAGCTTGCTGGAGTTGAATTTTTGGAGAGCTTTTAGACGCTTAAACCCATGCCTCGTTGTTCGTTCGGGAGATAGATGTTGGAAAACGTTACTGGTTCGAGGATCCTCTTTGTTTTATGATTTTTGGAGATAGTCTTGAGACCAGATCATTCTGAATAGCAGGTGTAAAATTAATTGCTTATGGCATGCTTTTGGGGATGATTCGCAGCATAGTAGTCTAATAATGATGTTTATCTTGCATGTTCTTCTTGGGTTGGTTATGCAGTAAGATATTCCTAGTGATATACTCAGAAGTAGATATACATCTGTATCATGGATCATTTACTAATAAATTCTATCCCAGCTCCTCGTCCTTACTTTCTGCTAGATTGACACAAATTTAAGGTAAATTTTTGCGTTGTATTGTATGGCGTCGAGTTTCAAGAAGTGTGGATGTTGTCAACGACCTCAGTGAACAAAATATGATCATGCGATCTTGTCATTGCATGCATTTTTTAGTGTGCAATTTCATGATGTGCTGGGCTCTGTGTTGTTGAATATAATTTTCTGATTTAATGTTGATTGAATCTGGGTTGGGCACTGTAGATATTGCAATCTAGGTTGGGTACTGTAGCTGATTTTGCAATATTTTTGTCAGTGTGAGGTTTAAGAATCTTGTTTTATAATGCTTGTTAAGTTCTTGCAGTGAACTAATTTACTGGAGCATCAGGTACTTTTGATCCTGTCCAAGTAAATCCTTGATATTTCACACCTCCCAACTTCTAGCATTATAACAACAAACATTATGAAATTGCACTTTTTTTTTTTCAATGCCAACTTCTGAAAGCTAGATGAATTGAGCATAGTTCAAGATTACATTTAATTTATATGGTGACCTTGAGCATGTCAATATCCGCAGAAGATCCAAATTGTGCATGTGTCTGTTCGATATGACATGATATTTATGCTTTTATTGAAGTTGCAGTCAAGTCCCCAACACATAGCAGATCATCCCTCCTCTGTTCCTTCTTTATTATTTGCATGCTCTCAATATTGGGGTCTCTTTCACCACAGGAAAATTATTTCAGTTACATTAAATTCTATCTCAAAGGGAATCAGTCAGTGTAGTTTCAGAGTTCAATTGCCCAAACGAACAGGTCTTAGGAAAAAAAAAAAACAAAACAAAAACAAATCAAGGTGTTTAACAATCACAACTGTAACAAAAAGAATATGGATACTTGTGAAAATACAAACAGTTGATACTATGTAACCCTTTTTAATCTTTTCAATTTTGTATGTTTTGGTTTTGTTATGGTTTCTTTTACTCTTTTTTCATCATCAAATGTATACATTTATGGCCACAGGCATGGAAGTCCTACACACTATAACCCATTTATATATATATATATATATATAGATATATATATTTATTATTGGTGAAACCTGAAAATGATTCAAATTTCAACTCATAGCTCAATCCATCTAAATATATTGTAATAAAGGTCTTTATACTTAGGGGACAAGGTGAGAGGTCACAACTATTAAATCCTCAATTGGATAGAATAAACAATCTCCTCAATTTCACCCAATTTAACAATTTTTAAAGTTGCAACCTCTCATCTTGTGTCCTAAATATAAAGACCCCCCTTAAGTATGAAAGTTCTACACTCTTTATAAACATTTGTAAAATTCTAATTGACAAAATTCACAACTTTTACTTTCTTTCCATCACTTAACCCATCATTCAATTTGTCCATAAGTACAAAAACCTCCATACACTTTGTGTTAATTTTTTTTTAAGTAATCAGTGGCTGAAATTTATAGTAGACTCAAGTCAGTTGTTAATAAGTGCAACATTCCCAACAAAACCTAAAACACGCCCTAATTGAAGTGAGACCACAACAAGCAATGACAAAGAACAAGCAACATCATTGACGAACGAACGAACGTTTGAATGAATAGAAAGACGAACTGAAAGACAGACGGACAGACACGCAGACGGACGAACGAAGGGACGGACGGACGGAAGTAAAACGGGACGTGGAGGAGTCGGAGCAGTGGAGAGGCGTGTGTGTGTGGAGTGAGGCGGCCTGCGGGAGAGAGAGTGAGAGAGAGGCAGAGTGCCCTGCGTCGGTAGCCGTGCTTAGTCGACGTCGACTTCGTCGTCTTCGTGTTTGTATCTGTGAGTATCTTTGCGAGTCAGTCGTCAATCGGATCCCACGACCATCGACGTCTGTTCTCGCAGGGTTGGTTGGTTGGTTGGTCGCAAGGCACGGCGAGCGAGAGGCGTACTCGGAGGAGGCGAGAGACGGAGGAAGAGGGCGAGACTTTGGGGTATAGGGAGGATTAGTTTTTTTTTTTTTTTTTTTTTTTTTTTTTTTTGGGTTTTTTTCTTCTCCTTCTTCTTGTGTGTGTTGTTTTCTTGTTTTTATGTTTGTTTGTTTGTTGGTTTTTTTTTGGTATTTCGTTATTTTTTTCTCCCTCCCCCGTGTGTTATCTTCGCCACCTTGGAACCGGGTTTGAAAGTCTGGAGGAGTGGAGAGGCCGGGGTTAGGGTTAGAGTGGAGGAGAGCAGGAGTGGTGATTATATGCGATCGTGGCGATGGACGGGGATCGGTATTTGGGAGTGACCGAGCCGATCTCGACGGCCGACCCGACTGAGGTGGACTATGCGAACACAAAGCAACTGGAGGAGTTTGTGAAGGGGCTGGCTCTCCAGGGGAGCCGGGAAGAGGAGGTGCGGCGGGAGGAGGTTCTGGGGCTGTTGGATGAGCTGGTGAATGTGTGGGTGAAGATGGTGAGTCGGATGAAAGGGCTGAACGACGAGTATGTGAGAGAGGCGCGGTGTAAGATTTTCACGTTTGGGTCCTATCGGCTTGGCGTGCATGGGCCGGGGGCCGATATCGATACGCTGTGTGTTGGACCCTGCTATGTGACGCGTGAGGAGGATTTCTTCGTGGAATTGCATGATTTATTGCAGAAGACGGACGGAGTCACCGAGCTGCACACCGTGCCGGACGCTCATGTGCCTGTCATGAGTTTTGAATTCAATGGGATCCCTATTGATCTATTGTACGCACGCCTGCCCTTGTGGGTCATCCCTGAGGAATTGGACATTCTGCAAGATAGCATCTTGCAGAACGTGGACGAGCAGAGCGTGCGGAGTTTGAATGGGTGCCGGGTTACGGATCGGATTCTGCGCCTGGTGCCTAATATAGAGCATTTTCGGACTACTCTGAGGTATGTCAAGCTGTGGGCCAAGAGGCGAGGGGTGTATTCCAATGTCATCGGGTTTCTGGGAGGTGTTAACTGGGCTTTGCTTGTGGCTCGCATTTGCCAATTATACCCTAACGCTGTGCCGAGCGTGCTGTTGTCGAGGTTCTTTCGAGTCTACAAGCAGTGGCGCTGGCCTAACCCAGTGATGCTCTGTGCAATCGAGGAGGGTTCTCTCGGTCTTCCCATCTGGGATCCACGCAAGAACCCCAGAGACAGGTCGCACTTGATGCCCATCATAACCCCCACGTATCCCTGTCAAAATTCAAGTTTCAACGTCTCCAACAGCACTTTGCGGGTGATGACGGAGGAGTTTAAGCGTGGGGATGGCGTTTGTGACTCTTTGGACTCCAAAGTGGCAGATTGGAGTAAGTTGTTTGAACCATACCCCTTCTTTGAAAGTTACAAAAACTACCTACAAATCGAGATTACTGCAGGAGACGAGGAAGATCTTAGAATCTGGAAAGGCTGGGTAGAATCGCGGCTTAGACAGCTCATTCTCAAAGTGGAGAAAGACACCTTCGGTATGCTTCAGTGTCATCCACACCCCAATGCTTTTCATGACACAAGTAAGAAAGTTCAGGTTTGTTCTTTCTTTGTGGCTTTGCAACGTAAGCAAGGTGCTCAACACTCTTCAACTCCATTTGACATGTGTCACACAATAGCTGAATTCAAACACTCAGTTAATCAGTACTTATTGTGGAAGCCGACGATGAAAATCGGTGTGTCGCATGTCCGACCGAAGCAGATACCGACCTATGTCTTTCCAAATGGGATCCGTCCAGTACGGCCTCCAAGGCCCCCGCTCCTGAGTGGGCGACCAGGGTCCGGGCCTAACATGGATAACGTACCGACTTCTCTGTCCCCGGAAGCGAGCACAAGGGCTGTTGTGACCCCACCGAGTGACGGAAAGGTCTCCGATGGAAAAGAAAGTAAAGAGCCTGAGCTCTCGATTCCCGACACCAAGAGGGGTGCCGAGAGTCTCGGGGTACTTGGAGGACCCCATTCGAAAAGGGTTAGGGTTGAGCTCAGGTCTGAGAGTTGACTGTCAAGGTGGAGAGGGTCTTTCTCGGCATTAATAATTTGCAGGAATCTTGTATTGTAATTTGGAGGTCATTTACCCTGTCATTCCCACGCCCAAGCACCAAGGGGGTAGATTTTCTGTGAATACAGCGGAGTTCGGTAATTTGGGGGAGTTTAGAGGGTAGTTTGCTATTGATGCCATAGAGTTTTCTCCTTGGAAATTGCGTGATCTTTGAATCAGCACAGCTTGTAGGGTTCTTAGATCACCTAATTTCCTTGAAGAACCAGTTTAAAAGGAATTATGATGCTGAATGCTCTGGGTAGGTCGGAGTGAGGAAGCTACTATTTTGAAACAATTCAAGTTTAGCAGAGTAGGAAAATGAGTTGCTCTAAACCCAGTTTCAGCATCGAAAATGAACAAAAAAAAGAGTAGGATGAGTCCAGAATCTCGTGTAATATGTCCTTCAGTATTTTAGCTTGTATGATAATTTTTTTTGGCTAGCCACGCTTTTGTGTTCCTAATGACATTTACCTGCAATGTATTTGTTGGGTTGCCCATCGTCCTTTACCGCAATAAAGTTGTCCGGTTTCCGCCCAATGGACAATCACTGTTTCTCCACTCGCTGAAGATCGTTGTTATTCATTTCCAGTATTTATTCTCTTTCAACGCCCAATTTTGCCAGTCGTGCAATATTGTTGCTGCTGCAGTCCTCACAGTGGAAGATGACGGGGCTTCTTAGTGGACGCGGTAGTGTGTAGCTCTTTTATACTAGCGTAGTGGTGGGTTGCCCATCACTTAAAATACATGTCATTTATATTTCTTGAATGTGTGTTTTTGTTGCCTGTGTTCACTTCTGTATTTACTTTCTTTCTTCACGCACTCCAATTGACGTAAAGTCCCATCACCAAGTTTCGTTAAGTTCCTTTGATTCACGTTTCACTACCGCATTCACTATCCCTAACCAACTTCAGTGTAACTTTATTGGTACTTCATTCCGTGTTGCTGGAACGTTGCTTCATCATCCTATAAAATGAAATGCCGGAAAGAAGTCTGAATTATGAATGCACCCTTTTCATTCGCGAGCTAGGCGTTGACAACCAACGGGTGTAGATTCCTTGCGGCTGCAAAAACTCTACCGAGACTCCAAGAGAAGTCAAATTATGCAATTCCTCCACCTCATGGCAGAGGCCAATTGCAGCCATGGCGGAGCTTATTAAGCGTCACCTTCGCCGAGCAACTCTCTACAGAATCAACTCATAGGGGTCAAAATCTGACAAGTGAACTAACCTGGAGAAATTGGCAACTAAATCAGCCGGGGTTGAATTCGTCACGACATGCCCGAGGAGCAGGAGGATTCACACGAAATGTTCCTTTGAATTGCGCTTAGAAGAAGGAACGATTTGGCATCCCGGCTTCTTTCACGAGGCGGTCGAAAACCTTCCTTCAACATCGAATTACACATGTGCTCGTTTCATGCTCTGAAGCAGCATGATCTCCGACCTGGGGCACTCTATTTGTGCTTGCACTGGATTCTGTCCCAGCTCCGAATTATCCCAGGCTCAACCGAATCTCTCGTAATAAAATCCCCACTTGCAGCAACTCTCAAAAAAACTTGGAATCAATCTCGATGTTCCTCAAGCAAAATTGTTGGTGTCTGTGGAATCTACCTGACTACTTCGGTAGCTGAAACACTGCATGGCAGAGCTCCCCCACCAGGAATAGTGGCAATAACTTGCAAATTTGTTAACAACACTCTACCTCTGTGGTTCTCATGGCTCACACTAGAGGTCTTTGAGCTTGTTGTGATGGGGGATATTTGCTCTTGGCTCTACCCCTCATAATATCAGTTAATTAAGTCTAATTAAGTTCAACCTATGACCACTTTGCCTACCGTGCAGCTATACATTTGAGTGCAGCGTTGACATTCTATAGCCAAGGTAATGAATGATGCTAATAAAATAACTCAACGCCAAATCAAACTTGTGAAGTGTACAATTCATGAAAGCTCCTTGCTGTCAGCCTTGGCTTTGAACCCAATGTTGGGAAAGCCATAACAGACAACAAAAATCAATACAATGAATAATACATCATAATAAGTTCATAAAATCTTCTTCTGTTGATTTTGATAGTTCTAAGGTCAGAGTTATTTATTTATTCATTTATTTTAAGTTGAATTAACTGATTTATTATTATTATTATTATTATTAAGCTACAATTGTCCAACTCATTACAAGAATGTTATGTTTCTAATTTGAAATCCATATCATTAATTAGCTTTTTGATTTTTCAATAGAAATATGAAAGCATCAAATAAAACTCCTCATTTTTTTGAACTTTTCTTTAAACTGAAAATTGGTATTTTCTTTGAAGTAAAGTAATTAAATTAAAAACTTGATTTTTTCTGGACATTGGATTTTGAGTAGCTGGAAATTGAAGCATATGCAACTTATGACAATGACTATGATTGAATTAAAGAATCATTTATTATATAAAAACATAATTTTGGTTGTTTTTAAAGAAATTAGCTGATGGCATTCAGGAGGTTTGTTATGTTTATTATACAACTCTTTTTTGTAAAATAAATAATATACATTAAGAATTACTAAAATGTTTGTTTCAATTGTTAATATAATTAAATAAATAAACGTGAATGAATTGTAGTAAAATATATAAAAGACTTATAGATATTAAATTTAATCTAATGTCATTCAACAAACTCTAATCTTGACTTTTTGTTTTTTTATTTTTAAAATTTTTCTAGTGTTTATTTTGTTTATATTTTTTTTTTCTAACTTGGAAATCTATAAAGGTGGAATAATGTCATGTGTCGAATTTTATAACAAAAATGATTGAAAATAAAAACATCAATGATTTGGAATAATCAATAGATGTGAAATTCCATAAAAGCAATACTAAGAACCTTTAGAGTTGGCACGTGTAGCACACAATAAAATAAATTCAACTCGCCATTAAACTTCTACCTCAAAGTTCTCTGATTCAAACATCTCTAGCAAGTAAATTCATTAAAATCCTGTCTAAAGGACTTTGTTTTGATCACATGTTCCACAATCTAACCAAAATGTAACATAAATTCCCAGTGTTGGTTAGTTGGTTGGTTGCTTGCTTTAGGCATGAATCAAACCCCACACACACACAAAACAAAAAGACAAAAAGAAAAAAGAAGATAGAATGTGCAGCATTCAATTCTTATCTGTATTAGAGGGCAGAATTCAACTCCCGGATGCCAACGCTGTACACTAATCCAGATGTGGTTTTCACAACAACGTGGCAATTGTAGAAACTCTCAAGGTTTGAGTTGCCACAGAAAATCTAGTTTGCAACAATCCCAACTCTATAGACTGCATGAAACATGATACATCAAAAAAGTGAGAGGTTCGCTGCAAACGGAGACAAACATGGAACACTCTGGAGCACAGCATCAGGGTTTTTACAGCAACAGCGCCACATGAAGTCCATGAACTTATTTGAAAATCAGCGTTTTGTAAGTTAAAATGTGAATAGAAAAAGTCAGAGGTTGGAGGAAAATTTCTAGAAACCCGTGTTCGACAATTGGATTCTGCACAAAAAAGAATTGGAAACCTGGGTGCAGGAACGAGGCATGGATTTGAGAGATCAGATGCTTCATCTGATGCATGCAAGCAGGTAATCCACCAACTCCTACGATGCCTTCACTTTACCCGCCGCATTCTCTGATAATCCTTCGCCACGCTTCTTATCCTTGGCTGATTCGCCTTCACTGCCGGATTTCTTCGCCTTATTTGCCTTGAGTTTCTTGGAATCTGAGGCTTGAGTGGCTTGACTATGAGGACCAAAGAGTAGGTTAAAAGCCCAGACAGCGAAGATGGTGCCGATCATGGGACCAGCCCAGTAGACCGCAAAATGGTCCCATGATGTGTGTTGGTTTGACACAAACGCCCATCCGAATGCATTAGCGGGATTCATAGCAGGACCGGTGTAAGCACCGCCGGCGGTGACAAGGGCAATTGTGGCTCCGATGATGATGAAGGTCTTCGCCATTTTGTTGCGAGGTCCTCGCAACATGGCCCACATGACAATCAAAGTGATGGTGAAGGTCAGGATTGCCTCGGCAATCACGCCTGTCTGTAGCGGCACTTTCAGTTTTGGACCACCCAACATGTGTTTGTACTTCTTTGGCATGACCTCTAGGATTGCTAAGGCGCCCCCAACTGCTCCCACCATCTGAGCAGGCAGGCGGACGCCGAGAGTGAAAAGGTCGTCATTACTCACCCCTGCGTACGAGAAGGCGACGATTGCAGTCGGGTTCCAGCTCGCGCCTCCGAGCGCGTGTCCTAAAAAGCTGAAGAAAAATACGAGGAACGACACCAAGGCGAAGACGATGTACATCTTCGTCTTCCCTGGTCCATCCAAACCTAACGACGATGCAATAGCCGTCGACGCAGCGCCCAATGATGCCATAGCGAATACCCATAAGAATGTTATGGACGCATCTGCCACTGCCTTCCTTGCCAACCCCATCGCGTCAACCCCGCCCCCTCAAACTCTGCGAATTCTGAAAAACACTGCATCAATAACAACAACGACAACAACAACAACAAATCAAAGAAAGAAATACTTCACAACTACGTCCCTCACTACAAATCGACTCTCATCGCCTTCGCAAAGCCCACGCCAAATCTACTGCACTTCAATGTGGCTTCACGGACAACAATCATCGACCACACTCCTGATCTCCAAGACACAGCTCGCCTCACCACATTCTTCGCCCACGTCAACAACCGAAACACTGGGCTCGTCACAAACACACGCAAGTCCACTCGAAATTCAAAGCCTACCTTGCAAACACCTACGAAATTTTACCTCTCTCGACACATCCGCATACAGCAGCCACAGCAGGGAGGAAGGGAAGGGAACGAGACCACCAGCACTCCAGCAGGAGAATCAACCACCACGACACCACCCCCCTCCCCTCCTAGCTACAGCGTGGCGAGCCAGCCCCGCTTGACTAAGCTTCAATGATCAAAGACGTAAGTCTAGACTTTGTGTCCCTCGGTACTGAAAAAGCAGATATAAAAATAGCGCAAACCCACAACACTCCTGGAAGTGAAGTTCCGTTCGGGACACTCGCATGCGATCTGGTCCGCTACTGCAAGCGATCACAAGATGGGGATTGAACGGCAGCCTCCAGCAATCACCCAATTACGCAACAACAGGAACTGAAACGGAAACCGACAGTTTCAGAAGGAAAAGAAAAAGAAAAAACGAGCAGCGTGCTCTGTAAATCCGAACATTACGAATACGACGAAATCAACGCCGGAGGGGGTTCTACTTTATATTGTGTATGGGAATGAATGAATGTACACGGTTAATTGTGGGGCGTGATGGGGATTGCAGAAGTGCTGGCTAGTTGGACCATGCCATTGGTGCTGCTGGACGCCCTTCCTTCCTTCCTTCCTTTCCCTGGTTGCAGCAACTCCTCGGCTCAGGCGTTGCTGCTGATTCTGCGACGTCGTGATTGCCTGCCTGATGCGATCCTTCGGGTTGGTCCTATCCTTGCGACGCTCCCTCCCTCGCTCGCTCGCTAAATTGAGGATTCCAGTGATTCGCGGCGCTTCTGCGTCGCGCATGCAGCACTGGCCTTCATCGCCGTCGCGTCGCGAGTCTGTCCGCCGTGAGTGTGATTAGTGAGTGGTAAGTGTGTTTAGTGAGCGGTAAGTGTGTTTAGTGAGTGGTGGTAATTGGGGTTAGTGTGTAGTGAGCGTGGTGTCGTGTGTTAGTCTGTGTGTGTGTGTGTGTGTTTTGTTTTGTCTTTGTTTTTTTGTATTGGTGGTTGACTATGGTCGGGCTCGTGTCTCGTGTTCGGAACCAGGTGGGTACATTAGTCCGGATGCTTCACATGATGAAGATGAGTTTCACATGTGAATGAAGAATGAGAAGTATTTTCTATGGCAACATTTAGTTTATTTATTTATTTATTTTTCCTCTCCTTATCAGTACACCTCCTTCTAAAAAGAAAGAAATAGAGCTTAAAGAGAGAAAAGAAAACTACTAATAATGTTGAGCAAACAAAATAGAAAGAAACAATTTTTTTATTTATAAAAAAAATCAAGGCAAGAAAAAACATTATTGTAATTTTTTTTTCTTGAAGCAAAATGTAAAATTGAGATATCAAATTATAATGCGTGTGTAAGACATATTCAAAATCAAAAATTATACGTAGTAACTTTTTAGAAGATGGTTCTATGCCAATATGATGTAATTTAATATAACTTGCAATAATGTGAATAGTGTGGAAGACACTGAATTGTATCAAGTAGAGATTCTGTATGAACTTCCTTGTTGCTCCACAAGCGTAAAGAAGCAAACTAGTCCTTTTATAATATCTTGTGTAGAATTTGTCAACGTTTTATTTGTTTTTTTCTATTTTTTCGAGGAATCTTAACTTTATTAGTGAACTTTCAAACTGTACTTTATTTTTTAGAATTTCCACTCACATAATCTTATTGTCTTTTCAAATCTTATAACAACATACTTTATGATGTTTTTTTATTTGAGATAAGTTAAGATTCAATTTATATTTATTCATTGCATATATAAATTCCAATAATTACTTTTATTATTTAAATAAATTACAAGGATGTTATGCACTTCTAAATGTTTAATACATTTTGAAGTTGACAAGCTATTTCAGTGATTCTAATCTCTTCTATTTGTTTCTCATGTCTTCTTACGAAAATCTTAAATTTAAGTGTTTTTTTTACCATATATATATATATATATATTTATATATATATAATATCTTTATACAAACTCAAATCATTTCATAATGTGTTTTCTTTTACAAAAACGCCATATGTATAAGAATCAATTCCATGACTATCATTGCCTTTTAGAGTCATAAATGTCTATTACAGCAAAGTGCGTGATACCTATATGTACATTCCAATTGATTTTTATTTTTATTTTTATTTTTTATAATTTTAATTAAGATTTCAAGTAAGTTTTTAAAATATATTTGAAATAAATTAAGCTTATAAAGAATAAATCAAAGATGATTCTTTGACTATTATACATGATTTTTTAAATATCTACTAAATATAGACTTAAATTATTATAGGTATAATTAAAAATTAAATTAATATTTTTTTTTACCAATACCTATTATTTAATATATTATTAAAATTATATTATTTGAAATGTAATATAAAAAATCTAATACAAATAATAGATTTATTGTTATTATATATATATATATATATATATATATATATTTTTTAGATTAATAGTATAAAAAATATAATTTTCAACAGATAGAATATTTTTTAAATATCTATTGTTTATTGTGCAAATCTTATTTTTCACATATAGACAAAGGATAAGTAATAATTTATAATTATATACACACATTTACATTTTTGCATGCAATTTAAGAAGATAATCGTTCAATGTGTAATTGTTCATACATGTGTGAATATATGTGTGTATATGTATGTGTATATATTTATTTTTTTGTTCATTTATGTCTTTATGATATGTCTTCAAGTCTTTTTTTTTTCTTCTTTTTTTTTGTTGTTTTTTTAAATAAAAATTCCTACCAAGTTACATCAATACAAATATGTAGACAATGTGGCTTCTTTAATGACAAACACATTTTCATGTTTATAAAGGTACCTCCACTATTTAAGCAGACTCCTCTCTCGCTCTCTGTCTCCCTCATTCCTTGCACATTACTACCACAAATATAATTTCTTGTCAGAGCTTGGCATTAGAATCATGGATATGGAGATTCCAAGTTCCAGGCACGCCCCAAGTGTGTATCCCCACTCAGCAATCCCAACAAAGAATATTTCCCAGAGCCGGTTCTGCACAACTGAGCCAATCTTAAATAGCCCATTGGATTGATAAGAACAAATCTCTACACTGGGTCTTACCCAAAAAGCCTGAAAAATGTATCCTTCTTCTAGGTTACCTTGTCTATACCTGCACGTGAACTCTGTCAATCCAATCCATTTGAGGACAGCAAACAAAATCATGTTGGATATGTTGCATTTCTATACGAATTGTCCATCTTCATCGTGTCACCTTTTTGCTCACCCGAATCCAATGTGCTATTCCACCTTGTTAAGGGCTGAGACTATGGCTTATCTGGACATTGCACTTGCATCCAACTTCGACCCACTAAATTTGCAGCCGAAAGGAAATCCGAACGTGAAGTGAATGTTGCCATTCTAATCTGTATGTGGCCTTGGGGGCACAACACCTTCAGAAGGTCAGATCCCTGATAGCCTTGAGTTATACACTCCCCTTCAAGTGTCACCTCTCATAGAATCCAGCAGGCTCCTGTTCTGAGGCCGAAGCAAAAGCCAGTTGCCTTGATCTGCACTGCTTCCAATACCAGTTGACACTGAATTGGTAAAAGAACTTTCCTTATTCTAGCTTGTTCACTTCTGCTCGGGGTCATGATCCTGGCAAAGAGTATAACAATGCCCATTGACATGTGGACGTCCTGTAGCGTAGCTCTACTAAAGTGTACACATTGTCTCGAGTTAAGGTTTAGGTTCCCGTATAGACTAATCATCTCATGAACTGAGAGTTAGTGTACTAGGAAATATCATTGCAGAAAAATGCTTAGTCGCGACCGTGGAGCAGCGAAAGTTACCTGATGACAACGACCGCAATGGACAGGCCGGCCGACCATGCAGCTGTAAGTATCAGCGAAGGGCACACCCAGGCGCTTGCCTAACCTGATCACCTCAGCCTTGGTGAAATGGCTGCAATTACAGCAAACAGAGTTTCAATCTCACTCTGATCTTAATAATATCAATAATGGACTTATGGGCATGGATACTAGGATCGCAGAACTCTCAAAAAATATACGTTGAAAGTCTGAGAATGAACTCTTGAAAGGTACCTCAAAGGAGCAATCAAAGTCACAGGTGGCTCCAGCGAGGCCGCTGTTGAACGGAAACTATCCATGAAATTTTGAGAAGCACTGCAGCATGGTAGCCCAAGTATGTCAAGCACGTTATATGTCATTTACACTGAGTGGGCCAGTAGATGATAACTTTTTGTTAACATAAAATGACGAAAGCACAAAAGTCCCCATGGTAATGCGAAGATGGTGGAATTCAATGCACGGAAAGAGTATGAAGCCTCACCTAGAATATGAACCAAGGTCATCTTTGTTGAGGCCAAGGGCAACTTTACTTGATCCTACCTTCAATAAAAGAATCACATCACATGCTATTGTCATGAATAAGATGTTTAACATGAGGAAGGAATATAAATAAAAGAGCATTCTAAGACAAATACTCGGGAGAAGCCATCCAACTCAAATTGGGCAATACAACGAACCAGGAAACTGCTCTCTGCCGAACAGAATGCACCAAATTGTGAGCAATTCTGAACCATAGCCACATGTCTAAACAAGTCCCTTCTAGGTTTTGAGCATTCGCTCTACAAACGCGTAAGAAATTGTTGCTCGCAAGATGGAGAGCCACGATGTGTAAGCCATGAGGTGAAATTACACATGCAAATGACTAACGTACAAATCAAATGAGTGGACTGATAATTCACAAGGGGGAAGTATTGAAAACCTGACTGGCATAGCTGGCCGCAAGCCCTAGAATCACAAGATTTCTGTGAGGCAGTGGCACGAACGACTTGGCCCCATGCTGCAATTCTCTAAATTTATTCCCCACCTGCAATACTCGTACAGCTTCATATACTGTTCAATCCTCTGAATTCTTCGAGTGAGGGTAATTCGTCGACGGCAAAAGTTCGCTCACTTACCGCGGACATGTCGATGCGACTCAACTCTAACCCGAGGTTATTGCAAATCTTGTCGCTCGCCCGCTCCTCCATTGCTGCCCCCCTTTGTCCATAATTGATGTACCTACAATGCCAAAGAAAATACCCTCAAATTCACGAAATGGCATAGAATCTGGGTCTAGAACGTTGTTGTGGTTCGAAAGCTTACAGAGGATGAAGAAGGGCGGAAGACGATCTCCAGTTGTAAAGCAACACTGCACTTTCAATCCCTCCGCTCATCAGCACTACGCTACTTGGTCCAGCCATGCCTGCACTTTGCCGACACTGGAAGATCCTCCTAGAGATGCTTCACCACAGCTTGAATCCTCACAATCCTGCACAAACGTCACCAACTCTCATAGCTCAAGTCCTCCAACAAAAAACGAAAAAACCCAATATCTAAATTCCACTGCGTTTTATCTATATTAAGGATATATATTGTACTCAATCATGAACAGAGCACTTCCTTGTGACGATCTCAAGTTTGGTTCGATTGATTATTTTTTCGTACATTCGTCAAAGGCTATCTGAGCTAAATAAGCGACTCGTGTCCGCAGATGTCTAGTATCGATTGTTGTCATGTGGAGCACTGAGAATGGCTTCAGCACATTCACATACTCGAAGGTGGTGGTCACAGGAAGCGCATGGCATCCGTGTTTCGGGCGAAGGGACTATTGCAACATTGCTGATTTCGTCTCTAGTTATTTATGTTACGGTGGTTTATCAACGCAGAAAGAAGTTACCTCCGGGCCCTTGGCCATGGCCAGTAGTTGGCAATCTTGCTGTCTTGGCTGGTTTGCCGCACAGAAATTTGCAGAACCTCGCTGCCAAGTATGGTGGCCTCATGTATCTCCAACTCGGTATGCGCTTATAATTGCAATTTCTTATTTTTTGAGATTTCAGATGAATGCGCTCAGCTGTTTCCAGATTTGAGCTGTTTCAAAGTGTTGCAGGCAGCTTGAGATTGACAGCTTTGCCGTGAGTGTAAAGAGGTTGGAATGCATCGGAGATCCCTCTTCCGTAAGCCACATTTATGGGTTCCTTCTCTGACTGCATTGTCAACCTGTATTAGGTCAAGTGCCTTGTCTCGTGGTTTCCACCGCTGCAGCAGCCAAGGAGCTGTTCAGAACCCACGACGTGATTTTTTCCTACCGGCCCAAGAGACTTGACCACGAAATCATATCTGGAAAGTCTTACAAAAGTTTAACAAGTGCGCCATATGGACCTTACTGGCGTCAGATTCGAAGAATCTGCAACACAGAGTTATTTTCTCCAGCAATTCACGCGTCCCATGTGAGTGTTAGGAGTGAGGAGATTCACAGCATGATGAAGGTTCTCCTAGCTGAGTCTCGGACAGAGAAAGCCATTGATCTCAAGAGCTGGCTTACTGGTGTGACTGCCAACAATATGACTAGGATGCTCATCAACAAAAGGTGAACCTCCGATTTGCGAAACTTCGAATCATCGCAACGAGTAATTGTAGTGCCTCATCGTCGTTTCTGAAATTTCAGGACAAATATGGTGGTGATTCTGCGAAAACTTAAGCTGAACATTTGAAAGGGTGAACAGGATGGTGAAGCAATCTCGACGTTGTATTGACTGGAGTGTTCTCGTGACAGGTTCTTTGGAACTGGCGTATCAGATCAGCAAGAGAAGAAAGACTTCGAGGAAATATTCGACCATATTTTTGCTGCTGCTGGAACTTTCTTCATCAGTGACTTCATTCCAAAATTGCGATTTGTGGAAATGTTGCAGGGCAAGATAGCAAAGCTCACGGCATTTCGAAAGTTTTTACACTCAGTTATTGGCAAGATTTTTGAAGTGGAGAAGCATAGGCAACGTGCACTGGAAAGGGGCAATGATCCAATTTACGTACCAGACTTTGTGGATGTATTGTTAAATACGCCTCTAGATAATGGAGAGCGACTCACAGACCGAGAAATCATCTCTATACTTTCGGTGAGCTTCTCCCCATTCCGTAACCTCTCTGACATGTTCACAGCTTGAATCACAGCTCAAAATCAAACATGTGACACACATTGCTTGCTCATCGTATACGACAGATATAACTAGTTACATATAAACTTGGTCGTGTAACCAAATGTTTTAGATGGTTTCACCCCTCTTGAATATGTTCATGGTTGATTGTAGAGCATGATAGGTGCTGGCACGGACACCACCGCAACCACAGTGGTGTGGGCAATGTCAGAGCTTATGGTAAACCCCAAGATTAGGAAGCAAGCCCAAGAAGAGTTGGATGCGGTGGTGGGAGATTCCCGTCTCGTGGAAGAATCCGACATCCCCAACTTGCCATTTCTTCGTACCATCGTCAAGGAAACATTTCGCTTGCACGCTCCTGTACCTCTCTCCCTTCCTCGTTGTTCCGAGCAACCGTGTGAAGTTGCAGGGAGCCAGTTTCCAGCCAACACTCGACTGATCCTCAACGTGTTTGCTATCCATCGCGACCCAATTGTGTACGAAAATCCTGATAGTTTTCAGCCCAGTAGGTTTGTGGACCATCCTGAGGTGGATCATATGTCGGGAAAGGACTTTTACGGGCTGATTCCGTTCGGAGCAGGGCGGCGGATGTGCCCCGGTTACCATCTCGGCAATGTGATGGTGTCTTTGATGTTGGCTCATCTTCTCCACAGCTTCGACTGGAGATTGCCTGCAGGAGTAACCGAAGAGAATCTCGACATGTCTGAGACTTATAAGCTAGTAGGATTAAGAAAGAAGCCCTTGTTTTTAATAGCCAAGCCTAGGAGCCCAGCCTACCTGTACTGATCTAACTTCTTGTCAGTTCAGTTTTCTGTACAACTGGGATGCACTTGTGTGGTGCGCATAGAATAAAATCATGCAACACACTATGCCCATTACATTCATAAGCAAATTGATAGGGTCGCACAATCAAGAATCCAGGATCAATAAACATACTGTATGGTAGTAGACGTTCACAATAGTTAGCAGAAATTTATACACCGTTGACGACAATCACATATGATCAATTTCACCTCGCTACCAGATTATGAATGATCAATTATGGTTCTGATTGTGGTATTGCCTTACAACGAACCTCTAGCAGCAACGGACCAAAAGACTCTCACAAAGAATCGGACTGTCTACAGGAGACAGTGTGAGGAAACTTGTGTGGTCACTATGTCTACAGGAGACACGTAAGGTCACTATGCTTTGCGAGATTATTGCGATGAGTAACCTGCGAATACATCCGTTGTTGGACACCATGTTTCGAAGATTCCAGAGACCAGTTTTGTACTGACTTTCCATCGAACTCAGCAATGCATTCCACGAGAAGGGCGCTGCAGTGCATGTATCGATAGTTTCTCCAACAATCCAAACACCACATCGAATGTAATAAAAGTGGGACGTACAACATACATGACTATGACTAAATATCCGTGACACCACATGAGCTGTGCATCAAGTATCTTGTCAAATGGTTAACTCAAGAGCATGCAGAGTAAGGCAAGCAACTGCTCCAACGTGCCACATTTGAATCTAGTAGAGGATTTTTCTTAACATTGCATCAGCCAAAACACTAGGTAGAACTAGTCTTCGAAGTGCCCTCTAAGTAACTCCGAAGGATGTTTTTGCACGTTCTAAAATTGTACGATGGACGGTCGAAGACAGATGGAAATTCAGGCACCTTTGTCTTCAAAATAATTATCACCTTGGGCGCTTGCCATGTCAAGCTCTATCTTACAGCTTCTAGTGCCTCGATCATGACTACGCTGTTCCCACGAATAACCTGCACACAACACCCGATTTGCTCATTAGATGTCCCAATATGTATCTTCAAAAGATTTGAAAAAGGGAAAACGCACACAGGAGCGTTACAATCGATATATGTTAACTCAAGAAACAACGGGTAGAGGCCTCACCACCATGCCAATCTCGTTTCTGTCAGCACCATTGATCTCAACAGTGTTATCCAGTACAAGGTTCATGAACTGGTCAAATCCACGCAGGACTCCAACAACATTCCTACCAGCATTGAGCTTGACTGCAAAGACCACCGAAGCGTTTGATCAAGCCAATTAGAATACTAACTAAGTTGGATTCAGATTTTTCTGGCTCAATGGACACTAACTTAACACTCGTTTATGGATACAGGACATCCATTCAAATAAACATAAAGAAAAAGCCACTTATCCGTAAGTTAGTAGTCACAGGAAAATTATTTTGATTGCCTCTCGCAACAGAAGTATGAATAGAGGAGATGGTAGAAAAACGCCTTCCAAAAAATAAACATGTCTTACTGTTCAGCTTCTTGTCCATGTACTTCTTCAAATCCGGGGGTTGCCCTGATTTGCTCATGGTGAATGACAGCCGACCCTGATTACTACAAACCCACCTGAACACAACAGCTTAGTCAGCACGTACAACTATAATATTCAAGACAGACAAAAAAACACACCCAAAAAAAAAATCAAGGAACGTCCGATCCTAGTTATAAGCCTCTTATTTAAAAAGCTTAACATACGGAAACCGTCCAGAAATCGTCGAAAAGACACAACGCACTCCCACCATCACTATTGACACAGAACCCGTTACCGACTAAAACCCTAGAAACCCTAGAAAACCGACAACCAGAAACAAACCCTACACGAGTACACCCAACGAAACATCTATTTCAGAAAAACTACAAGAAGGCGTTTCATGTGCAACAGAGCTCTTGAAACACAGTGAGCGTGAGTCGATGCAGCGAGTACCCCGGGCAATGGCAAAGGCAATGGCGATGGCGAAATCGGTGCAAGCTTGATGCTCCCTGACGCCAGTTGCCCAAACAATGCACTAATCTGGGGCGACGAGCATGGTGAAGCCTTAGGGCTGGAGACCCTGATGAACGAACGTCCTCCTTGTTACGATGAATGAAATGGTTTTTTATTTCATCGGTGATCCTGCATTGTTTCTGACACCTTGCACTCCATCAATGAATTCATTAGCATCTCTCGAATTTACTGGTGATTGTTTGGAAAAGTGGTGCCAATTGGTTGTCTGATCTGATTGTGCGGTTTAAAATTGTGAGAAAGAATGAAGTATAATCTATCGAGGATACCTGCAGGGTTGGTCTCAGTCGTAAAAAATGTCTTTGCAATATATATTTGGATTTGGTCTCAATGAAGTCAGGAGCTACAGTATATACTTGGACGAAAATGAACGATTATATAGAATTGAGTAGTTTGTGACATTTAGACCATTGGAACATTCAAATTCGGTCTTTCAATAATAAAAGTATATGTATGTGTGTGTGTGCATCGAAAGAGAGAGAGATTCAGAAATCCTAGTATCTTAACCTCCTACCAAACACAAATTATAAGTCAAATGATTTTTATGTTTAAAATGATCAAGTTGGCACTTTGAGAACGCCTTCACTTCGAAATGAGCTTACTGAAAGATTTTGAAAGTAGTAGATACCGTGTGAGAACAATGATAGTATTCTATTGATTGCGAAAAAAGATCTTAAGACGTGTGTAAGAGATTGAAACGTTAGTGTCGCACCATTTCAAAGTTACAAGTTTTCCGCACCAGGATCGTGGTTGGAAGAAGTGAAAACACACACACACACACATACAACGAGTCGGCAACATTAGAATGAAAGATCAGCTGGGACAACTGATGATTCTTATTTCAAGAACTAGTTTGAAACTTTGCAACATAGAACAGCAACTCTGTTACTAATCCAATATACTTTTTAAAGATTTTTTGTGAAAAAAATTAAAAATGACCACCTCTATCGTTATCCTAGTAGTGCCAATACACCTCTGCAATAGCTCAACTGCAAGCTCAGTAAGACGTGGTAATACAATATCCTAAGCATGCTTCTACAGCAGCTGCAGTGAGCAGCACACAAGCTCATTCGGAAAGAATATGCAAGCACCCTATGAATAATAGAAGGGGCTACATCAGAAACGGACTTTACACATTATGAGAACAAACTGTTGAGATCAGCCACAGAAGAGTTTGATTACAAGAGTGCTGGAAGAGTTCTTCTGCTTCATTTTCTCGCCAACAGCTTCGCAACATTGGCAGTCAAGCGACCTTGGTGCTCAGCCATGGCCAGCTCTGTCTCGGTGGGCATCCTTGTTCCGTCTCCAGCAAAAGTTCCAGCACCATAAGGGGAGCCTCCTCTGGGCTCGTCTAGTTTGAACATCCCAGCACCAAAAGTATATCCGATCGGGACATAGAGCATCCCGTGATGTGTCAACTGCGTGATGGTTGTCAACCTGGGAGCCATCATCCACCAAACTTCAGCATGTCTTTGGGCATCAAACATACGAACAGAAAGAAACTACATGGTCTAGTATGGGTCAGCCCATTTCAGCGAAGAGTTGTAAGTAGTGAAAGTGATGGCCGCTATTGGCTCAAGATTTTGGGGGAAAGGGCTTGCAACAAAGCAGTTGAGCACAAACGAATCCCAAAGCTAGCACTAAAAACATACGAACTTCAGACGTGTTCTGGCCGCGAACACATTGCTAATTTTGGAAATGACGCTTACCATACCTACAAAGACCACATCCACTGAAGTGTCAGAAGCACAAGAAATGATAGAAGGGGAAACATTTATAAAGATTAACTTACGCGGTAGTCTCCTGTCCTCCACCTTGAGTGCCCGTGCTAACAAAAATTCCTGCTGGCTTCCCTGCAAGAGACTGCCCTCTCCACAGCCCTCCCGTGGAATCGAAGAATGCCTTCATTTGTGCTGACATTGTTCCGTATCGAGTTGGAATTCCGAACAAAAATGCATCAGCTTCAGGTAACTGTGCAGCTGTAATGACGGGAATCGCTTCATCCTTGGGTGGAGCACTCATCTTTGTCAAAACATCAGCTGGTAGCGTCTCAGGAACTTGGTACAAGATGGCTTCAACACCTTCCACAGAATCTACCCCTTCCTTCATCTTTTTTGCCAGTGTAAGCACGTGTCCGTACATGGAGTAGAATCTGCATCAAAGCATCCCAAAACCAATCATATTTCTTGTTCCACTAGAGATTCTTCAAGCATAGGAAAATCGTCCACATGCTTCCGATCTCCTGCCATCATCTCGAAAGCTCCAAAATTGAAAGGGGTTCTTAAAACGTGCTATTCCCTCACAATCCAGAGGTTCTACATAGCTTCCCATTTCAGCTCCATTAACGGCTTTCAAGTCAATCAAGTAACAAGAAACGAGGTGGTAAATTCTGCAAAATGTAGTATACCAGCAGCAACAACATTAAATGTCCTGTACAGGGTTAGACTTAAACATTTTGGAATAACAACCTAACACATCTATACCATGCCATCAAACTGCATACTCCACTCACCTCAGCAATGATGATATGCATCACCATCTAATGAGCAGACCACGAATGCAGCGGGTAAACAACTTACACGATGAACACTTTAACCTTCCCACTTGATATTGGGGCTGCACTTGAAATTGGAGCCTTCACAGAATGTTTGTCATCTGCACTCTTTTCGAGAGCCTCAGATGCGACACTTCGTTCAGTAGAATCGGCTGTCGGAGCGGGTGACTTTGCAGCATCGGGTGTTGCAGAGGGTGCAGCAGCGGGTGGAGGAGTTGCAAGAGGAGAATTGCTTGCTGAAACTGGAGCATCTGATGTCGGGCCTGTTTCAACCTTCTCATGTGGAGTTCCGGATCCAGCTCCCACAGATTTGCTCCCTTTGCTAGGGAAACATCCTGTGCCTTTCCCCATAATTATATCACTGAATTCTTTCAAGAAAGAGAGTTACACCTGTGAGCACGGACGCACACACACAGACAATAGAGATGAAATTAACCATAATAAGGATGAAAACTACGGCATTTAACAAGGGATCGAAACAAGGGAAAGTGTCCCGCTCAATCTCTCATCTTCCCTAGCCATACACCATCAACAGCCCTCATCCATTCAACACAAGAAATATTCAGAGTACGGCATCAAATTTCTTCTTACATCACAGGAAGAAAGTGAATAGTAGCTGAATACATGCTGAACAGTGCGACAACCTACTGAAACTGCGTTTGACTAGCTAAACCAGGCATTCTTAAATCTTCTCTTTAATCCAAATCTAACATATTTTAGTATAAGTGAAATAATTACTACCAAATTGCTTTGCTAGCTAAATCTAGCACACTTAAACTCTAGTAAATCTTTACCGACCAGCAACCGGCCAAGAGCTTTGCCATTTGCGTCATAGGGCAACAAGAACCGCTCGCATTTCTATCACGGTGCTGCTCGGGACAACTAAGCTATCTGAGTGCAAGAGATTGGTCGCAAATATAAGAATTTCCTTACACTAGTGACCCACCACACTCGGCCAAGCAGGATACAATATCCACTCCCTCAACCCGAGCCTATTCCTCCGAGAGTAAGTAACTACATGCGAAACCCAGATTCTGAATGCAAACAGTGACCAATGTCGATAACCCAAGAGCCATCCCGTCTTTCGAGCTAATCTGGTCTCAATCGCAAACACGAACTAAACCCATTTACATGACCAAGCCAATGACAAAATCCAAGACACTACATGCACTGGAAGGCCCTATCTGCCCCACAATCAAGCCTCGCACTCGCAAGCAAACCCAATTTGATCAAATTCGCAAGGGACAATGGCATACCAGGCCAGCCTACTAACAAAGAACTGCATGTCTGCTTCGAAAACCCAGCACCCTGCTACAACACAATGCTAGGCTTGAAAGAAAGCAAAGCAAAGCAGGAAGAAAAATAAATATAAATAATAAAAATAAATAAAAAATAAAAAACTTACTCGAAAAGGATCACGCGTCCGCAGTGAGACCACCAAACAGGCCGTGCCCGCTGTCTCTGTACCGTCCTGGTTCCGCATGAAAAGACGAAAATGGCAGAAATGATTTTCAGCAGGTCATGCAAATATTATTTTAAGACCGAGTAATGAGCCGGAATTTGCTACAAGGGAAGGCGTGGTGGGCATGCTGAGGAAAATGATGGTGAGGGATTGGAAGATGTCAGTAAGTGAAAGACAGAGAAAGCTATAGCTAGCTAGCTCAGCTTACTACTACTACTACAACAACTGCTACTACTTCTACACTACTACTATACAACAATGGAAGAATGGTTGCAAACAACTCTGTTCCGCATTCAACCTCCTCTCAAGTAGTAGTCGTAGTGGCAGTGAACCACCACCACCACTGTCACAACAACTCGGCCCCACCCTCCTCCGCCTCGTCGTCGTCGTCTTCCTCGAGAATGGTGATGCTTCTGAGGATCCTTCCTGCTGAAGCAGTCTCACGCCTCGCACCCCATCATCCCTCATCGCCATCAATCCCACCTCTGTCCACCCCCTCCCCCGGAAGGAAGGGAGGAAAGGACCCACAAAAATAAAACAACAAAAGCAACACCAGATCTCCAACCCAGAAATGCCGAAGAAGTCGCCGCAGCAGTGTTTACTTTTATTTCCCCCCTTCATCGCATCTATCGCAGCTCCTGTTTTCTTTTCTCAGGATGATAAACAACCACTGACTGCAACACCATGCATCCTCCCTCTCTAACCCTCCTTCGCTGTTACCGTTGCAGTAGTATTCTTCTAGATTCTTCTCACTTGCCTCGGTCCCACCGACGCCGCTGCAGCTGACTTTTGGTGCACCTCGGCGATACATAGTTCTGGCGGAGAGATTGGAACTCGGACCGTCGGATGGATATCCCCCAAACTCCTTACCCTACTGACGGTATTACGTTCTTACTCGGTGGGAGGGAGGGGTCGAACACATCCTGATGTTAAAAGTTTTGGTGGTCCTATGTTTCTAGTCTCATTTGGGTCGCTGTCAGTGTGCTGTAATGTGTGTATCAGAAGAATGTTATGTTTTTGTTTGTGAGGTGGCATGTGGCATCGATTTTTCTCGGGGTTCTCCTTATGCATGCTGGCGACAGGTCAGAGGCTCGTACGCCAGGCTGGCGCTCTGTGAATCCCCAGATGGCATACACGTGGCAGACTGACTCGGCAGTTCGGACAAAGTAAAAAAACGTGAGGCTATGCTCTGTTTTTGCTAAGCAATTCCTCACCAATATTTCATTTTTATTTTTAGTTTTATCATAAAACTTTGTTTATTGTACTTAGGTTTGCTGGTGTTGGATGTGGATCTGAATTTGGTTACAGAAACCCTATTGCCAAAATTTTCAAACCATTTGTTCTTTGAGATGCAATCCATAAATAGAGGTGTGTTATATAATTTTGACAATTGGATTAGTTTATTTATATGTGATGAATGATTGACTAATTTTAAAACTCTCCTTTGACTTTTAGTATTCTTGTACTTAGAAAACCACTTTGAAAGGTCATTGTACACATCTATATAATAAGAAAGCTTAGGTATATATCAAAGACATGAATTTCATAGAATTAAAAGATAAATACATTAATGTATTGCTTAAAAAGATTGGAGAATCATTCAAAGAGAGTATAAATTTAAACAATAGCTATTGCCAAAGCTAAGAAGACTAGATGGACTTAAAACAAGACTAAGAATTAGAAAGGCATTGATATGTGTAAAGAAAGCTTCACTCTTACTTCTATATATACTATCTAACTAAGAATTATGTAGGGATGTTCTATAGGATCTCCAACATGTGTCCTATTTGCAAGACACATGTATTGACTTGCAAGATAAGTTCCATGTATGCAAGCAAAATCATTAGTTTTTATCACAAGCTATCTACGCGTATAAAACATGGCTAATTTGTTGACTAAGTTTTTAACCTGCCAATCAACTATAAACATGTATAAAGTCAAATATGTATCTATAAAGTTAAATATATGTCATTCCTACCTCTAATAAAATTACCAAACATTGAAAATATCTTCCAAAGTTATAATACTAAACATATTGTATCTTGTCATTTATTAAAAGAATAATACATCATTCTTAAGGATGTAAGCAAAGAATAATATGTCATGAAGGATTGGTTCATAAGAAGTTATTGGTTCTCTATCTCTTTAGCACTTCAAATATATAGAAACTACAAACTACGATAAAAGATAGAATGTAATTTTTTTTTAGATCTTATTTCTTTTATAATAAAGATTTGTTAATCTTGACTATGGTTTTGATAGATGCTATCAATAAAAAGCATCAACCTTCTTTGTTATATTTGAAAGATTTTTAACATGCTTATATGCACATTCATTAATATCATATCTCTATCAATGAATAAGATATTACAACCTAATTCAATGCCTAAAACTTCTTCAATTTCATATTCCTAGTTATTATCCACTTTTAAATGAAGAGATGTCAAGGACATGAATCTCAAAGAAAGAAAACTTAATACACTCTTGTGTTATTCAAAAAGATTAAAAATTTACTAAGAGACAGTAATAGATTGAATTAGAATGGCTATTAGCAAAGACTAAAAGACTAGAAAGTCTTGAAACAATACAAAAGGACTAGAAAGGTATTGACAAGAGTGAAAAAAGCTTCATTCTTATATCCATATATACTATTTAACTAAGATCTACACGAAAATGTTCTATAGAACCAATTAAGGACCTGAATCTCAAAGAAAGAGAATCCTCGATACACTCTTGTGTCATTGAAGAGAACTAGAAAGTCACTCAAAAGGTAATGTAATATTAACTAGAATGGCTATTGCTAAAATTAAAGAGACTAAAAAGTCTTAAAAGAAGGATAAGGACTAGAACGACATTGACAAGAGTGAAGAAGGCTTCATTCTTGCCTCTATATATACTCTTAACTAAGAGCTACGTGGCGATGTCCTATAAGACCTCGAAAACATGTTGACTTTGTTAGCCACATGTCTTAATTTGTAAGACAAGTTATCTATGAATGTACCACATACTTAGCTTGTTCCACAAGCTATTATATAAAGTTAACTTGTTCCACAAGCTACCAACATGTACTTAATTTGTTGGCTAAGTTTCTGACCTACAAACACATCTAAAGTCAAAATCGCATCTATGAAGCTTCTAAGAAGCTTTACTAAAAGACTTTATGAAATTAATCTATATTTACTTACTTCTAACTAATCATATAAGTAAATATTGAAGTAAATGTATATGTTCGTGACATTACCTTCCCTTCTAGGGACGAGTTCCACGAGAAGCAGTCTTCATATGTTGAGAAAATCTAAGATGCGACAAATTGGATTTACCACAAACTCTGATATTTGCTTTCTTTAAAGATGGTTGATAGGCCCTCTTAGCCATTGATAGTGTTTCATACCATGGCAAGAAGACCACCCTATTATTAGGTCATTGTTGAGGCCTTCATAACTTCTTTCAAATAAAACATTTAGAACTGTCAAGAGTTGTTCCTACCTCTAATAAAATCACCAAAAAACGGGAGAATCTTCCAAGGTCATGATAACAAACATGTTGTATATTGCCATCTATTCGAAGAAGAAAATTTTATTTTTGAGGATCTTCATCTCGATTCTATCGTCTTAAAGGTTGTGACAATCGCAATGTCTCATCTGGTAGATGTAATTAGTAAGCAACATGATTGATTTGTTTACAAATAGAAAAAAGTTATAGCCTACGATAGTCCAACTTATCATAAGAACGAGTAATCTTGATATTGAGATGAAGTAATCATATCTTATAACCTATGTTGAATTATGATTACTCCTTGCAATAGGCATTTGCGTTGGTCTTTTGCTGTCATTGAGCTTCTTTTAATTTTATCTTTATTATTGCATATAGCTTTGATAAATGATTTGCTAAATCTTCTGCCGCAAGATTATCAACTTTTGAAAAGTCAAAAGTATCAAGTCATGGATAATAATCATAATTAGTAAAAAAAGGTGTTTGTTGAGTAGAAGAATGTACTGAATTATTGCATGTAAACTCTACAAATGGCAAAAGAGTTATTCAATCATCTTGATGATAGTTGATAATATTCCTCAAATACTAATCCAAAATTTGATTCATCCATTCCATTTGTCTATCAGTTTGAGGATGAAAAGTAAAAGAAAGTTTTATATCCACCTTTAAAATCTTGAATAAGGTTCTCCAAAATCTTGATACAAATTGAGTCTCCTTATTTGATATAATATCCTTTGGCAATCCATGATAGTAATAGATATTATTAATAAAAAACTTAGCTATTTCTTCACCTGAAATAGATTTTATATATAGTATAAAATATGTCATTTTGGTGAAGCGATGTACAATTACAAATATGGAATCATGTCACGGACACAAAAATACAAACTCGAGATCTAACAAGAAGTTCAAGAAGAACTGGCAAGAACTAGATTCATCAGATGAATACAAGAACAACACCAGAGAGGTGAGCTAGAGCTCCAAGAAATGTATTGTCGAGACTGAAGAACTTTTCAGCCTCGATTCTAATATATACTCTTATTTAGGAAGCTTCTCAAGCAACTTCTATCAACTAGGAAGCTTCTAGAAGGTTCTAGAAACTTATTTCTAGAAGGTTCTAAGGACTATGTCCCTAACATCTTCTACCAACTAAGAAGCTTCTAGAAGATTCTAGAGACTTGCTTCTAGAAGGTTCTAGAAACTTGTCTCTAAAATGTTCTAGAAACTTGTCTCTAGAAGGTTCTAAGGACTATGTCTCTAACATCACCCTCTCTTTTAGCTTTGAGGTCTTTGAG